CACTCCTTACCAGTTAGGTTGTGCTAAAGCTGATTCTTCTGTCTGTCCCAGGTAATAAGGCTCCTCTCTTGCTATTTATTGTTCAGTTGTTTTTTCCAGGTGATTTCTCCACAATTTAGTTGTAATTCCAGATTGGTCCTGAGAGGAGGTCAGTGTGACTTCCATTCACTCCTCCGCCATCTTGATTTCTCCTCTTAAAACAGTTTTTTGAGGATGACTGATGGATACAAAAGTCATAGCAAGTGCAGAAGGACTGCCTCAGGGCCCTGCAGGCCTCACTACTTGGAATGGCATTAAAGGTGTGATTTATAAATTTTGTGCCACAATGACTGCACATTAACACATTTCAGAAAAGGACTTATACAGCAGAAAGTACACACCATGTCCTTTAATAAAATTCCAAGAGTAAAGAATAGGAAAATATCAAAACAAAACTGTCTTGGATATGTAGCCATTCCCATATCTCACCATTGGCCAGCTTTCAGTTTTCATTTCTCCTCTGCTTCCTGACTGTCCTCCACCTTAGCTCCTTTCTTCATGAATCCTGCCCCCAAATTCATTCCCATGGCTCTTCGGGCACTAGAAAGAATGTGATAAACATTCATGTGATGATGTTGGCAATTGTCATTACTCCTTTCACTGGTGTTTGCAGTTCAAAAGGGTTTCCCAAGGAGAGAATAGTGCTGAAAACAGAGAGCTGAATTGGCAGCCCAGTAATTTTACACAGGAGGGCCAGGGGCAGGATATGGCTGCCTTTGGGCTGCAAATCCACAGTGAGATAAAGCTGGACTTGAAGAAAAATTTGAAAAATGGTGATGGAATTAATTCAGTTATAATATCTTATGCATATGGAACATGCAGTGCACTTTTTAAAGCATGTAACGTGCATTAACCTCTAACTTTTGCAATAATCCAATGAGGATTTTTTTTTTTTTAATTTGCAAGTGAGAATCTGAGGCTTAGAGGGGTTTTGAACTTTGTCCAGAGTTACTACTCTAGGAAGTGGCAGAGCTGAGAACTGGATCCATGTTTAACCATTCTGCACTATTGCCTCTCAGCTCTAAAGCAGCAGAGCCCAGGGGGAAAGAAGACCCACTTTAAAGCGAGGCGTGTCACTGCTCATGAGCTGTGTGACCTTGAGCCAGTTACCTACCTTCCTGGTGCTTTAGTTTGCTCATTTATAAAACGGATGTTAATAATGGCAATCCAGCCTTACAGGGTTGTGGTAAGGATTAGCACATTTAAAACAGTATCTAGAATATAACAGAAACTTTTGAAATACGAGTTAACATCATTATTTGTTAATATGATAAACCAAATCCCATTTCAGCAAAACCTTCTGTATTGTAGTTTTCTGAGACTCAACCAATGAGTCACCAAAATGGTGTTCCAAACCACAAAATTCTTATTTGACCTGAGAATCTAACTTGCTGCAATAAAAGTGTGTTACAGAACTGATGGCGCACAAGAGCAATTTTAAATATCTTTACCTAAAATTACTCTTGAAAATGTACTTCAAATTTAATACTAATGCAGTATCTACATACATCACTAACTTTAAGAGGGATTCCAGACTGGTGTGCATAAATGCCTATAAAGCTTCAAAAATAGTATGAAGACTAATTTTAATATTCCAATAAGCCTTAGAAAAATTACACCAATTTCAAACCACACATTATATGGAAGTGACACCTTTGAGAGCCTATGCTAACTCCTAGTCACTGTTAAATCCCACCCACATTTCTGCTGGCCTTCTTTCCCCTGGCACATGCAGCTGGACTATTTCATGCACTGAACCTGTCAACTATCACTGGCAAGTTGAAGCTGGCTCTAGTCAGGCTAGAGTGTGGATGTTTGACCTCTGAGCAAACACCCAAGAGCTGTATAGAAAGAAATATTGCTGATTTAAGTCAGTCTACCCAGCCTCAGGTCACTGTAATGGTTACTTTCCAAATAAAGACAGAGATCAAGCTATCAAACGAGAAAGAGCATATATACTACATTACATCTTATAAAATTCTTAGTTTAGTATTCAGTAAGCAGGAATAGATTAAACAGATCTTTCTCTCCTAATAAATGTCCATCTTGAAGATGTTTTTAGTAAGTTGATTCTTTCAATGTGTAAGTGCACACAAACGCAGATGGAATTTTGCCTGAGTAAGGACTATGGAATCACTTTGGGGGTCAGTTTCCTGCCCCCTGGAATGCAGCAGGAACTTTCCACAATGGGAGGGAGCCTCTCTCAGGGCACTCTATGCAGGAGGCACCTGCAGAAGCTTTATGCAGACATGCCAAGTCTCGAGATGGTATCAGCATCTCCAATAGCCAGAGGCCACTGTGCCCTCAAAAGGTCCCAATCGGATTCCACAAAACCGATTTGCATCATAAGCAAAGAAGTGTGTGTGTACGGCCAGGCAGCATCAGACCTCTCTCACTGCTGGGGCCGAAATCCAAACTTATATTCACTTGAGTTTACCATATCCCCATGGAAAGGATGCGTACTGAGAAAAAAAATGTGATCATACTTTGAAATTTCTTCAAGGAGGTTGTTCTCAATCAATCTCATGAGGTTCAGGAAAACTTAATCCCAAGCTGACTCAGGAGCAAATGTAGCCAAATTCATCTATTCACTTATCCTGTATTTGCAGGATGCCTATTACATGCTAGGACTCTTCTTAACACAGAGAGGTCGTGGTGAACTAGATAACCACATCCCTATGGTCTGCTGCTTCACCCTGTTAACTCTGAATATAGTCATCAGTTCAGATTTGAATACCAGACTATGAGCTCCAGACAATGCCCTTTTATTTACCACTGTATACCAGCACCCAGAGCAGAACCTGGAACATAGGTCACTTTCCTATGTTTATTGGATTAACACACATGAATAGGAATTTGGCCCTGAATGCTTTGAAAGCTTCATCAAACTCTGGAGACAAACTAAAACACAATATATCCATTAGTTCAGCCACTCTGATGAGTGGAGATATAAAGATGAGTAAGATGTGGCCTCAGCCTCTGGGAAGCTTACATTTTGGCAGAGAAACAGCAAAGGGCAAAGAATAGAGGCACAGAAGGGCTGGCATATTTACACAACTACGAGTATTTTGATGTAACTGGAGCAAGTGGGAGGAGAACAAGAGATGAAGCTGAAGCAACAGGATAGGTTAGGCATACAGAATTGAAAGATTTTTTTTTTTTTATCCTGCCAGTGATGGGGGAAGGGAGTTGGCAAAGATGGAACTTAGGTAGAGGAGTAACAGGATTAAATTTGTGATTTGGGAAGATCACCCTGGCTATAGAGTGGAAAAGAGACTGGGGGGAGTCAAGGCTCATTAAGAAACTAAGGCAGGGTCCAGGTGAGAGCTGATGAGGCCTTGCTTTAGGCAGTGATTGTGAGGAAGAACAGGAGGTACTAACTTCATGAGCCATGGAAGTAGAATGGGCAGAACCTTGTGATGGACTGGATGGAGAGAACATGTGGCTAAAAGATACACTGCAGAAAGTATGGCCTACAGGAAGCAGATATCCTTGGTGGCTGAATGTATAGGAGAGAAGAAGGAAGAGGGTCAGGTTTCTAACTTGCATATTTGCTATTATTCAGGGCAGAGAACCTTCACACAGATGTTCAAACTGAGGTCTGGTCCTATCCTAGGTCTTACATTATACTGCCATCACTGCGCTATCATTTCCCAATTCTGGGTCCTAACTCATACTGTTTGTTCCCTCTGCCTTATGATGCCCTCTTCTGTCTTCATCTCCTTAGGGCAAGTCCACTTCAAATGTCACCTCTTCCGAACAGCGTTAGATTCCCTCAACCTCAGATACTCTTTCTAATGCCTTTGTATTTGCCTTAAGTCTCTGGGTTCAGTTTGTGAGAGAGCGCTTTGAGAGGGACAGCTCTCCCTTCGTCATCTTCCTGTCTCCTCCAGCCTAAAACTTTGTTGAATTGAAACAAAGAGCCAATGAGACGACATATTCATCTAGGAAATGGGGATGTTATTGCCACCTACTTCATAGTGTGTTTATGAGGGCGTGGTACATAAGTGCTCAATAAGTGACACCATCCACATCATCATTTCTAAAATGAGCAAGTTCCACTTAGTCTTGGACTAACAATACTAAGCCTCTAACTCCTCTTAATGAAGTTGAAGGATACAGGTATTACTTTAGAAATTCCTGGGAAATTGTCCCCTGGAGGCAATAAGTAGGGAACCACTATCCTGGCCCCCCGGGGCCTTCCTTTACAAATCAGAGTTTTCTCTCTGGAGGCTTCTGGTGACTGCTTTGGGCCTTTTCTTTTGTGGTCATGGGAGAACAGTACTCAGCTTTTGATCTCTGTGATTCTGAGAAATGAGGTGATTGGGAAGAATCCTACTCAGGCAGTTACCTCTTCTCACCTCAGCCCCTGCAGGCTGACTGCTGAAAATATCAGAAACAGAGCTGTAGCCGCAGGGAGGTGAGGTGAGTGAGTTGGCCTGGCTGTTCCAAAAGGAGTTGAGCAGGCAACTGTGACAGGCCTTGAGTTTTATTTTTATTTTTACATCTACTTTGAAGAATTTTGTGAGTCCCAAAGGAGCCCTTTTATGTAATATTTTTCTTTTTCTTTAGAATTTCCTCTAAAACCCATTAGGGAGATTTAACATATTCCAGATTTAGCACTTTAATGGGCTTTTGTTCCTGCCATTATTTTTCCCCCATTTTTAATTTCTCCTCGGATTTTTAATTAGCTATGTCTGAGATTATGGAGTTTACAAACTCAACAGCAACATTTCTGGAAGGATTTTAATTCAGTTTGGGAATTTATTATGATAATATCATGGACCCTGCCTGAATCAGAATGGAAGGGAAGATCTATCCCAGACACTAACTCTTGCTCCAGCAGACGGCGCTCACCACGATGAACCTTTTAGGGGCACTGGACCTCTTCTACAAAATCACAAAGGCCCTGAGCTTGAGAGTCGCTGTTTAGCAGCATCTTGGTGTCTTTGTCTTTCCAGGAACCTCAGACAAGTCAAATCTGGAGCTAATCACTCTGACGTGCACGTGTGTGGCTGCAACCCTCTTCTGGCTCCTATTAACTCTCTTTATCCGAAAACTGAAAAGGGTAAGGACATTTCAGAGAAGTTCTATGCTCCTTTTTACATAGTATTCTAGAATGCTCATCTGATGTCTGGAACAGGCACTAAATAAATGGTAGACCTTTTCTTCCCTTTACCTCTGACCTGGTGAACACTGGAAAATGAATCATAAAAATGTCTCTCAACCATAAAGTGGCGCATTCAAAGGGAAAAGCTAGAGCAATGGACAGGTGACTATTTCCCAGGAACAGAAAGGACATTTTTTATATAAAAATATGTAATAAAGTCTTTAAGGTAAATTCAGCATGAGACCCATGAAGCCTTAATTTTCATAACCTTATTCTCTGCTAAGAAACAAAAAGAACAAAGCAGAACAAAGACCCGACTCTCACTTGTCTCTCATAACACAGAAACAAAGACATACACTGCTATGATAAAGTGCCGTTCTTTAAAGTGTGAGGTTCAGGTTGGAATTCGAAATATCAAATTTCTATAATATGGCCTATAGCACGACTTGCTTCTCTGAAGTTCAGTGGGGAAAGAGCCAACACTAATTCTTTCATTTACGCCTCAACTATTAACCGTGTGCCAGCTCTATGCAGAGTGCCAGGCCCCATGAGGCTCTCTGATGACAGTGTAGAGCAAATGCTACTGTGTACAGTCTGGCACTTTAATCAAGTACACAGACACATGCAAAGTGTAACTGGAGTGAGTTGACTGCAATATGCACTGTGGGTGGGGAGCGGCCAGGGAGTAGTCTGGCAAAGAAGGAGGGAAAATATTCCAGGCAGAGAGAAGTGTGTATGAGGCAGGGGCAGGGCAGAGGGACACCATGACAATGAGCGGCTGACAAAAGGCCAGTATGGTTGCAGTGGCGGAAACAAGGCATAAAGTGTGTGTGGCAGGGGAGGACAGGAAAGACCGCAATGCCTGACCAGGCAGGGCTTTAGGCTATGGTAAGGAGTTTAGCCTGTATTCTAGAAGTAATAGGAAGCCTTGGAGCAGGGAGGAGGGTTGTGAAACAAAGGTAGGTGGTTATCAAGTGTGAGAGATTTGTGTCTGCAATGATGATTTTGGCTGCTGTGAGGAGAATGGACCAGAGGGCAAGAGTGACTAGAGAGGCACCTAGTGGAAGACTTTACAGTATAGTCCAAGTAAGAGATGATGGCAGCTTAGTCTAAATGATTAGAGTCAGAGATATTTAGGAGGTAAATTCAAGAAAGCAAAGAGTGTCAAAGAAGCCCACTCAATGTCTAAAAATTTGACAGCCCTTAGTAATGTACCAAGCTTGTGGGAAGCTTTTTATGTAGTGTCTCAGTTAATCATTCAAAAATTGCAGAGGTAAATATATTATTATTACCACTTTATAGAGAAGGAAACAGAGGCTCGGGGAATTAAAGTAACTTGTCCAAAGTCACATCGCTAATTAGAGTTGGAGCTGAGGTTTGAAGCCAAGTTGTTTGACCTTAAACTGGATATTCAAAACCAATACTGTGTACTTTATAGTGTTAATTTGAGAAGCAAGGCCAGCAGCCATCCTCTACATTGACTGCATAATACTAGGCTTTTGCTATGTGGAGTGACTGGTTTTGAAACAGGACATTTCAGGCCACTACTTTAGAAGGAAACAGACCAAACAATAGCATTTGAAAGTGGAGATACATTGTATTGGAAAAAGAGATCTAACAAAAGAAAAACTCGCCAAATCTGTAGGGGGGAGTACAATGACCATAGGAGTTCAAAGGAGGAGAGCGGGAGAAAACACTTCAGGGAAAGCAAAGCTTAGAGGCAGACTTTGAAGGCTGTGGCTAGAAGGAAAGAAACAGAAAAACACAGCCCCATTTCTCCTTCCCACTCCCCAGATGAGGGAGGAAGTCCAGTGACTTTGCCTGTAGGAGCAGAGTTGAAATGAAACTAGAAAGGCAAATTGAGACTAAATTGAGTGTGTCTCCTGTATTCTAAAAATGCCATTTCGATGTCAATAAGAAAGGATGAGAGCAAGTGATAGAAGGCCTATGAAACCTGCCAAGTGATTGGTTGTGGGAGGCAAAGAGGAAAAAAGGCATAGAAAACAATCTCCATGGGGTTTCTCTAACCGCATTGTAAATTCCTCACTGATAAAGCCTACTTTATCTTTTTATCCCAGCCTGGTATAAGCCAGTATTATAATTATGAGCCAACATTTATTGATGCTTAACAGCTTTACATGGATTATTTCATTTGATATTCACAACCCTATGAGATATGTACCATCATTATCAGCATTTTACAGATAAGGATACTAGGCTTAGAAAGGTTAAGCCATTTTCCCATTGTAATGTGCTGGTCAGAAATCCAGCTGTGATTCAAATCCAGGCAGTCAACCTCAAGGCCTGGGCACTGGCAAGCTGAGCTGAGCAATTTTCATGCCAAGCACCTAGTGGCTGTTCATTGTTAATGTTGATTAAAGGAGTAAATATGTCTCAACTAAGATTCTACTACCACTCTCCTCAAACCCCTAACTCTTTTTGAATGTCTCTTCTCATCAGCCTTATTGAGATAAACCATAAAATTTCACAGGTGCCACATGAGGAGATTGTCTTCCATTGACTGTCCCCTGGCCTCTATCAATGCCACTGCCAACCTCCCCTAGCACCCTGCAGAACCCAAGATGTCCCTGCCAGGCTCAGCAATCCTATGCTCTCTGGAGACTGGAGGTTGCCTCTCATAGCCTTGGCTATACTGGACATTGAGAAGTTCAGTCATAACCCTACTCGCTCAGCTTGTCTAATGAACCCCCATGCCCTGGCACAGGGAATTATACTCCACAGTCTTACAGACGTGCACTGTGTCTGACAGGCTGGGCCTTTGCAGTCAAACCCCAGTGGCAAGTGCACTTTGTGACAAACATGCTCCAGATCTTCCTCCATTATCCGCTCTTTGTGGGGCCAGGCAAATCTTTCTGCCTTGAGCTATTTGTCACACATTTTAGTGATAATTTTTGTGAGAAAGAGACTGATTGCAAGTGATGGATGAGCTGAGCGGTGACAGCCCAGAACAGGGTGAGTAAGGGCTGAAGAATGTGGGTGGGTGGGTGAGTGGGAAATGGGGTATGTGGAGGGGTTGTCTTCTCTGCTGAACTCTGATCTGGTTGAGGGAGAGGCCCTGAAAGGAAGGGCCCTAAAACTCATTTAAATGAAGTTTACATAACTCTGGCAAACGTTATCAAGACTCACCTTATATGGGAAAGCATACTTCCTTTCTGTGCTGCCCACAGAAAGGCAGTCAATTCTACAATTAACTAAAAGGAAATACACACCCATGGATGTGAATCCAAGACACTAAATGTAAATCCAGTTATGATCTGAAATAAAGGGTATTTTCTGGGCTTCATTTGCATTACCAAGATAAAACATGCACCTGAAGTCAGAGGTGCACCTTATTCACTTGACATCCTACCAATGTTCCAAGGAACTTGGAATGAATGTTGTTGTGTGTAAGCCTTACTCCTTGGTATTTGAAATAATCAACTTCTATTTCTTACTGAAGGTAAATCTTATTCCAGTCTCACTAATGGACCTTATAGTCTTTACAGGCAGCTGTAATAACTAAGGGCCAGGCCTTCTGAGTATATTTAAACAGTTCATATGAAACGTGCCTTTAGACTGTCCCAAGGAAGCACCCTGGGCTTACCTTCCCACCTTTGGCCTTTCTTGCAAATGTAGAAAAGCCACTAACATGAACCCTGCTGTCAGTCCAGCTGTAATGTATATTCCTGCTTACACAGAATGGCCATGGAAACTCATTTTTAGTCATTGTTTGGAATGATTTCATAAAAATGCTTTGCATTTTTTAGAGAACTAGGCTAATCATGTGCTAATTCTTTAAGAACAAACAATAAGGTTGCTGGAGAAGCTGAGTGCATTTTATCTGAGATAGTACTACAGAAATGCAGGGTGGGAACAGTATGCGTTGTTTAATAGACTTCACACACCCAGGTGTGATGTGCATATGTGTATGCTGAGGGGTACTTTCTGTACTCGACCATATGGTTTTAACCAAATGAACAAAAATAGCAACAGATATTGCCGAGTATTGTTTTAAATTGGATATTGGGGGATTTCAAAGTTGTTTCCTTGTTGATGACCTTGAGATCTTTTCATTTTTCAGTCTTCTTCTGAAATAAAGACTGACTACTTGTCAATTATAATGGACCCAGACGAAGTTCCCCTGGATGAGCAGTGTGAGCGCCTCCCGTATGATGCCAGCAAGTGGGAGTTTGCTCGCGAGAGACTTAAACTGGGTAACATTCAACAGATTCCTAAACCCATACTGAGCGCCTACTACATGCAAAAGATTGTGTTGAGGGATGCAAAAGTAGACTAGACTCGGGATTATCCCCTCCGGCTGTTCACAACCTAGCAAGGGAGATGGACACAGAGGCATACGACTCTATGAGAATGCTGAGAGGACAGTTCAGGGGACAAGGGGCACCTTTGTGTTCTTTCAACAGTTATCAAGTACCTTTTCTGAGCAGCAGACACAAAGGTGTTTGAATCTCTTCTTGCTAGGGGGATCACTATAAAAATAGATGAGTGAAAAGAAAGGAGAAGTTAGTTCCACCAAGAGCTTTACAAGTATAGGCACTTTTAAATAAAGACATTTTTGAGGAGTTAGAAACTTATGACCTGGAACACAATTCAGGATGATGAGGAATAATAAAATCAAACATGTGGTAAAAGAGTTGGTACTCTTCAAGACTGTGGATCCAAACCACTCAGCACAAACCCACCACTTACAAACTTTGCAGGTCCTATGGGTTCATTTAAGGTTCTTTAACAAAAAAAAAAAAAAAAAAGACCTGCCCACCCCCCAATTTGAGTATATGTCAGGCAACTCTTTTTTTTTTTTAACCCTCATCTGAGGATATGTTTTTATTGATTTGAGAGAGAAAGGAATTAAGAGAGAGAGAGAAACATCAATCAGTTGCCTCCCCCATGTGTCCAACCACGGATCAAACCCACAACCTAGTTATGTGCCCTGACAGGAATCAGAACTGCAGCCTTTTGGTGTATAGGACAACAATCCAGCCAACTAAGCCACCTGGCCAGGGCTAAATTTCACTTTTGAAGTGCAAGAACTATTGTTTTCCAGGTAACACAGATGCTATAAACACCGGCAAATGTGCTTTCCCTCAGCTTACCCCCAAGTTGCTCCAGCTTGGGCACCACAGTGCAAATTAATCTCCAGCCCAGCTGCTACAAAACAATGGGAGCCTCAATTACTCCCGCTAAAAATATTTGGATTGTGGCTTCTGAAAGTTTTCCACTCACTCCTATGCATGCCAGAGTCATTAGTAGCTGGATCTAAGAAAATAGATCATGCATCCAGTGTTCCCAGAGCTTGTCACTCAGTGTAAAGAGCCTGTTGTTCCAAGTTCAGTGGCATGGCCCCCTCTTTCTCCCTCCTCCCTCCCACGGACTGTATGGAGGTGGAGGTGTGAGGTGACATATAGGAAGAAGTAGCTCTTCTCATTCTCTTGGGCCTTGAAATGATTCCACTTATGTTTCTTCCTGCGTGAGAAAGAGTACTTGGTCCCCAAGAGTATGTTCTGTTTGGCTTGGAGACGAAAATTAGAAATCAGTAAAAAGCTGGAGAGACAGACAAAAGCCATTAATGGCTGCTGACAGGAAAAAAAAAATGAACCAAATTTAGAGTAGTTAAGGGCAGGTGGCACACTAGATGAGTTCCTTCTGCAAGCCTAAATTATGTGGCAGCTATCCAAGCCCCTTCAGCGACCTTGGCACAGAACATGGGATAATTTTCCCACAACCATAAGCCATTCTCAGGCCACATTGCTTTCCAGAGTTATTAGTCACAATCAAATAGGCTCCTTCCAGCATAGGACACATGAGCTTTCTGTCCCATTTCTTTATTCTTTGGCCTACTGTCATTGTGATCCAGAATACATCCAGGGAGATTGCTAGTCTGTCTACCAGAGTTCCCCTGGAGCTCTGTGGGTTTAGATAATCCCATTTTAGGAGATTCTCCTTGTTGAAGAGCTTTCTCATGGTTCTTTTCCTTCCCAGAGTTGTCAGATGCTATAATTTGGCTAATGTACATGTGAGTGTCTTTGATGGGTGAGAGGAGGTGTAGCAAGTCAGCTAACAGCCTTCAATGCAGAGTGTGACTGCAAGGGCCAGAGAAATGCTCCTCTAACTAACTTGGGAACAAAGAGGCCCAAGATCTGTTTGTTTTTTTAAGCCAAATAAATGACAAAGAAATCTGAAGCAGTCTGGCAAGTGAGAGTAACCAAGATTATGTCTGGACAGAAGGGGAGAAAAGGCAGGTTTGATAGACAGAGTACAGTAGAGTTATAAATGCAGAGAAATGCACAGGCCAAGCTGTTCTGATCTCAGCTGTCTGCATTCTGTGGGTTAGTATCAGCCCTGGGGAGAGAAGTCAGAAATTACAATACCTGACAGATCGATACAGTTGGAGCTTAGGTCGAAGGTGTTGCTACCATTGAAATTCCTGAAATCCAGTGACCAAAAAAATCTATTTTGGTAGTGATTCCTCACTCAGCCTCAGAGAGAATTCCTTTCCTATAAATTTATAAATGTCTGACACTGCCCCTTTCTATTGGAAAATAAAGTCAGAATTAGCAAATATGGGAAACAACACAGGGAGTCTGGAATTTGGCAGGTGGATGATGCCTGGGCCGATGCTGCCTCTTGTAAGGCCGGCCCTGGATGCCAGAGAAGAGCTGAGCCCCATGCTGCTATGACCTGTCCCCAGATCATCCCAGGGACCCTGGCCAGTCATTCTTGGAAGAAATTCCAATATCCTTTCATTGTATGAAAATGACTTAACCCTTATCCAAACTAGCTAGTGGCACTTGAGTAACACCAAGGAAGACTTCAAGTGAAAAGGACGATCAGGCAAGGTCAGGTCCAGTGTGACTGGGCTCCATTGAAACTGGCACTGTGGGTCTGCTGAAGGATTCCAGTGCGTCAGATGATTAAACAGCCCATAATGGCTTCATGCTGTTTTGTGAGGCAGCAGTCAGCTTCCAAGAGAATAAAGGAAAGACTGAAGGAAGCCAAGTGAAAATGAAATGATTCTCACTGATTGAAACAAAGTCCCCAAATACTGGTTAAAACGAAGTGTCTCCTGATGGCTACAAAAGGAGTACATGGGGGGCTGAAGTGTGTGAAGAAAAGGATTCCATCTGCCCCAAACAAGCAAGAGTCTGCAGTGTGTGGGGAGGTGTCCTGAGACAGAGGTTGTCTTACTATTTCCCGGGCTCAGGACACTTTTCATATTAGAGGATAGAAGGAAAGCACTCCTAAAGGTAAATATTGTTCTTTTACCCTAAAAAAGCAAGGAATATGCCTACGACCAAATGCAGCAATATTTACAAGTCTGGAGAAGAAATCTGCCAGTGCTTTTCCCATACATGATCTCCACTTCTAGAGCCTCTTCTCTGTAAACTAACAGTCCTTCTGTTGTTCTGTATCTTGGACAATTTATCTGAAGAAGTAAGCACTGACTACATCCTGGCCCATGACGTGTGCTCTGGGTAGAATCCTTGTCAGTCACTACAGGTGCAGGTGTGACCAGAGGAAAAGCATGTGATCTCACCAGTGTTTCCTTCCTGAGTGCATCCCAAGAGGTAGATGCAGAGACTGCCATAAAGAGGCTCATATGACTGCCTTGGTAACTGAACTCTTCACATGTCCTATCCGGATGCCTAGGGTGCTTGATAATGGAAGATCCTAAACAGAGACAGGGTAAAGACATCTTTGTTACTTAGTAATTGTGCAATAAAAGTATAAAGATTCTAATATGATGAAGCAGCAGAAAGCTTCATTACAAACTTTGCAAAAATCTTTAAAAAACCAATGTCCTTTGGGGGAAGGGATTGGAGCATGAAGGAGGGAGGGAAGGAGGAAAGATGGCTAACTAACTGAGGGCTTATTATCAGAACAGTTTGAGAAAGAGGACTTGGTTGGGAGAGCAGGTGCTGTGTTAAATCACCACTCATTACTACCAGGACTTAACTTTTCACCAGAGGCATTTTGTTGGGTTTTTTCCCCGACAAGGACCTAAAAGAATGACTTCTTTGACTCACTCATTTTGCCATATCATGCTTGAGGTGAACTATTTCTCTAGGTTTCACTTAACTCCCTATCTCCTGATGATCCAAAAGGAAGTCCCAGGGGACTTTGTCATAAAAGGTAGCTAAGGTTTTCCAGGGGATGCCCTCCTCACAGAGCATCACTCTCAAGGTCTCTATCTCATGGGCACTTCTATGCACCAGGCACTGGGCTAGGTTCTGGGAAGTTTCAGATATGATCATTGCTCCTCTCAGTCAAGTCGCCTCATGCAAGAGTGAGGAAAGAAACGTGTGAATAGTTGGAGCATTACATAACGGGTACCGTGAAAGGAACCTTGTTTGTTATGGCATTTGGCAACCGCCCCTCTATAGTTGAAACAAATTACTACTGGTGGTTGATAGACTGATGTGCTGAACCATGAAGATTTATAATAATCATGTGAAGACATGGTAGAAATACTGGGGCTATTTTGCCTGGCAAGAAAGTCAAAGAAATGACTCAGTGGTTTTTTTTTTAATCTATGAAGCATTGTTATAACCAATAGCAATAACTACCGCTCTCAATTTCTCTCTTTCTGATGAAAATAGGTCAAAAGAAATGACCTGAAGTGGCAGAAAAAAAAAAAAAATGGGCCTACGCTAAACACAGGGAAATATTCTGGTTAATAATGTCATTAAGCAATGGAAGAGACTACCCAGGATTTGGTGGCCTCCCCCTTCCAGGAGGATTTTGTAGATAGGAAACTGGCCATCCACTTACACCAAAGGCCTTCTAGGGGCCAAGCACAGCTGTGAAGAATGAGGGCACCACAGATACACAGCAAAGAGCTGGAAAGAAGATACTTCAGAAATGTGTCTCTCTTACTTTGATTCTTTTGGGGTCAGTTCATTGGAGATTCCATTTAAAGTCACATGCCTCACATACACGCATAGGAAAAATGGCACTTCGTTCCTGAAAAAAAACTTAAACTCACCCTACTGGCTTGGCATACAATTCAGTATGTATTCTTTTCATTGTAGGCAAATCACTTGGAAGAGGGGCTTTTGGAAAAGTGGTACAAGCATCTGCATTTGGTATTAAGAAATCACCCACATGCCGGACTGTGGCTGTAAAAATGCTGAAAGGTAAGGACACTGTAATTTGGCTTTCAACTGACCCATCACATTCCCTACATGTTGATATAAGTTGGATGTGGCCTAGAAACAGATTCAAGCTATTTCTGCTCTGGTCACATAACTTCCTTCTACTGCTGGGAGCCCCTTTACTTCAGGAGTCTAAGATTAGGCCAGCGAGATTTCATAATAAACCTTGGTAATGAAACAATCAAGATGGTTCATTGGAAAATGATTTCTGTCACCTCAAAGATAGTTCTTCTAACACATCTCAGACTCTAGACTATCAGGAACTTAAGCCCATGATAACCACAGGTTCAAAGTTTTGAAATGACCCACTATGACATTATAATGGAAACTTAACTGTACATCATAGATCCTAAAGGCTTAGCTGAGGCTTGGCCTAGCTCTAAAGTAAAACTATGAAACTAAAACAACTGAACTGATCAAAACCCTAAACTATTTTATACTCTTAAGTCCCTACCATAAAACGTCTTCTCTTTAGAAATTAATAACAACAACAACTAATTATCTTTCTAATGTGGAAAGATACTACCACTCTGTGACGTACTGGCAGGTAGAGCCAGATCCAAAGGCATATACAGCCGCTGCCACAAGACAGACTGAAAGTGAAAATTACGTAAACCAAACAAATCAAAGACTCATGGGTCCTTTGAAGTTTAGAAAGTAAATCATTTCCTCATTTATGATGGAATTTTCATGGTACTTCAATGCATTTTAAAGTCCCCAAAAAGAAACAAGACTGAAAACCCAAAGGGCAGTTTTCAGCTCACCAAGTCTCCAAGGTACCACCAGGGGCTTCAGAGGCACTGGAAGCGATGCACCCAGCAGAGCAGGTGCCTGGCACAATCTCCAGGAGGAAAAGGGCCGTTGGCCTCGGGAAACCTCAAAGCTTTTCATCTTTTTCCTGCCCTGACACCATCACTGCCAAAGTATCATGTCATGATATTTTCCACCTCAAAAGGCTATCCTTTGCAAAGAAAAGCTTTGATAAAACTCTGCAAAGAACCTGACAGTTCTACTCTGAAAGTAGCCAAAAAAGAAAGGGGTTTTGCATCCACAAGTCCATACTTTTGTTTGAGGTGGACGGCCCAGGCGATGGAAGGATTTCTATGAGGAAACCAACATTCCAGCACCCCACCCTTCCCGCCACCCCAGATTCTGAAGAAAAGAGGCATCAACATGTCTTCTATGTGAGAAAGCCCCAGACTAGGTACTTTTATGTATTAGGTTGAACCACTTGAAATTGCCATGTTTCTTATGGTAGGTATTATTGTGAGATAGATATTGTTATCCCAGTTTGCAGATGAAGAGATATGGCCCAGAAAGGTTAAATAGTCTCTGCAAGGCTACACAGCTCCCCATTGTAGACCTAAGTGTTCAAGTGCAAGTCTTTAACTTTGAGAGCAACGCATCCTGGAATTGCCCATTGCTCCAAAACCCTGAGAATAATCCTGACCTGAGTTCTGGAGACAATCTAGTATCCAACCCTGAAATACACTGAAATTAAATCTGGAAGCATCTGCCTCCTCAGCTGGTCCATTTCCCTGCTTACGACCACACTCTGTCTCTGAGGAAGGTGAGTAGGCTGTGCTAAAGGGGTATAAATAAATGCATGGAGGCGGTGTGAGTTTGAGGAGGGAAATTCTGACCTGAGATTTTTTTTTTAAAGGCCTGAAGAATCTATGTAATATAGAACTAGTATGTATAATATCTTTATAAATGGTTACCTTTTTTAAGCCATCAGCTTTAGTTGAAAAAGATTGCCAAATCATCCACTACACAAAATTCCTAAAACTATTTTCATTCAGCTCTCTTGTTTTTAAATTGGCTGGCCATCTGTTTCTAGGAGAAACTGAAAAGGCAGAATGTCAAACAAAGGTCATGAGTCAGAAGGTCTTTCAAAATGCCCTTGAGTGAAATCTTTAACCTTTTGGGGGCATTATGCCCATGTCTGAAATGAGAAGAGTAGTGATGTTGTTTATTTATCTAACAAATATTTGTTAAGCGTTTTCTGTGAGCCAATCCCAACTTCACTGGGGGGCTTCCAAAGTTTATCTAATTATTATTAAAAATGATTTATGCTTATGAAATACATGTCAGTATCTACCACAATGTTAAATGCATACCCTTCAACCCATTCCAGGACCATCTTACAGAAATACTTGCACAAAATATTATGTGTACAAAGTAAAAATGTGTACAAAGATTAACACAGGCTATCTATTACAGCATTGTTTGTAATAGCAAAAAACAAAACAAAACAAAAAAACCCCAATAACTATAGATAGACTAAATGTTAGAAGTGCCACAAACCAATTAAAAAGAATGGAAAAAGCCTCTGACATATTAAGAAGGAGGAAAGGCAAATTTTAAATATTTTTAAGTGTGTGTGTGTGTGTGTGTGTGTGTGTGTGTGTGTGTTTATGTATTTATAAAAGCATACAAAGGTCTGAAATTCCAAAAGATTAACAGTGGTTACTGCTAAAAATTTAAGTGGGCTGGACTGGCTTTCACTTTTTACCTTATATACATCTTACCATTGAAATATTTTACAGCAAGATTATATGACCTTTTTATTTCTAAAAATAACAAAACATTTAAATGCCTTAGAAATTAACCAATAAAAACAGAACGAACTTAACTTAGGCTCTGCTAATTCTTAGACTGATGTTGTTTATCTCTGAGAATGAAATTGAAGTCAGATGCTTATGGATCCTCACAACTTGAGATAACCTTGTGGACACCAGAGAGGAAAAGGTTATAGGGAGAGAATAACACATTGAAAAGATGTTTACAGAAATGGCCATTCCCCTCCTTCAGGTTGTTGTGCTCTTTCTTTGTAATTCCTCAAAGAGGGGAAAATTAAGAAAAAGAGGCGAGCTGTGGCCACATCCCTGCCTGGAAGGTTCTGATGGAGGGAAGCCTGGAAGGCGCTTTCACAAAGTGCCCTGCCCTGAGTCAGCACATTGCTGAACAGGACTGGGTCCACAAAGAGGAAATGTGCAGTGACTAACCCCACCACTGCTCTGGGCCTTACTGCAATCAAAAGGATGTTGGCTCAGGAGGGTGGGAGTAACGAAAACAGTCTGGGGACTTGGCCTTTCTGCAGAATGTGGGGAAGTTAACGAAGCAACAGGCTGAGCACCAACAAACATGGAGGGCAGGAATGCCACCTCCGGCGGAAAGTCTCATTGTCTTGTTGCCTTTACTCTTCCTTGCTTCTCACACAGAGGGGGCCACAGCCAGCGAGTACAAAGCTCTGATGACGGAGCTCAAGATCTTGACTCACATTGGCCACCACCTGAATGTAGTGAACCTGCTAGGAGCCTGTACCAAGCAAGGAGGTAATGCTTCATCTCCCGGTTCACCTGCTAAAAGCAGAGGTCTCCATCATGCAGCTCTTTCTCCCCACCGGTTTTCCTCCGCACCTGCTAGAAAACGGCCTTTCAATAGGTCCAGAGGAAACAGTTTGTCCACTTATAAAAGGGGGGTCCCATCCTGGAAATGTCTTCCCTGTACAGTTAATTTAAAGGTTAATTTAAAGGACTGTCTCGTAGATCACCTTCCACAGGCTCCAGGTGGAGTGGAGGGCATTTTAAATTTGATGGTGATTTTGAGGGACTGTGACCAGAGCTAAGGTAAATGCATAGAAGGTAGCACATTCCTTGAAGCTTCACCTAAAGGAATGAATGTTCTTAAACACCTTTCTACCCTCCCCTGTGGCAAGGTTAGTCTTTGGTTGTGATCACTGCTTGAGACAGAAAGAAAGGTGTAAGGTACCTGTACATATAAATGTTTCCTAAGCTTGATAAAGATAGAAGTGAAGGATAGCTGGGGAAGACCTACCTGCTGGAAGTGGCAGTGGGTAGAAAAAGAAGTGAAGTGCTGGGATGGTCAGAACTAGAGCCGTAGGGACGCAGACACAGCCCCCCTGCTTCTCATCATCCTTGAGTATTGCCAAGTTATAAGCTCTTTCTATTCATTTACCCTGGCTCTGGTCAGACCCCTTCAAAGTCGCCATCAAAACTGACCAGGGCTAATCAGAGAACCCACCTCCATCTGTGTCTCAGAGCTCCCTGTAGCCGGTTCAGGAGGGAAGCCCCTCCTGAGGGCAAGGATTGCTGGACTCCAGGCAGGCAGCCAAGACACTGAGAGTTCTCTTAGGTGGTGGGGAGACATACAGCCTGTAGAAGTAACTTCCTGTTCTGTAACTGGGAAGGATGATGAGGTGCTGTCAGGGTTTTCCACATCACTCTTAAACCAGCAAAGTCCTGGTGAGACGGAACACCCCTCTTCTGAGCAGAACCGGCCTCTCCTGAGCCTGGAAGCGCTATTGTGAGCCTTGAGCCCAATTCCCTTAGGCTCAGAAAATCCTGGCAACTGCCACTCCCAGCGTGCCCTAGGGCAGCAGTCCGCGGGAGTGACTGCGTGGTGCACACGCTTTGGCCCAGAACCCGAAGCTGTTCTAGCGGCAGGTCTCATGCCCAGCCAGGGGCCTGTGGCCGATGGGCCAGGAACCGCAGGGGCCTGATGAGGCAGAAGCAGCCCTCAGGGCAGCACATACTTGGGACCTGCATTGCAGCTCAGTTTTTTCTTTTTTTACCTTCTTAACTCTCTTGCTTTCTTTTAACTAGGAGTTGGCAAACCATGGGTCCAGCCTATGAGCTTAATTTGACCATTTTAAATTGTTGAGGGGAAAACTCAAAAGAATAATATTTTGTCATATGAGAATTCTATGAAATTCAAATTCATGTTTTCATAAAGTTTCACTGCAGCAACAGTCTTTCATTTGGTAGTATTGTTGACTATGGCTGCTTTCACACTGCAAAAGTGTAAGCAAGGAGCTTTATGGCCTACAAAGCCTAAAATAGTTATGGTCTGGTCCTTTACAAAAAAGTTTGCCTGCCCCTGCTTCAGCCTTCCTTACAAGCCCCAAGGCAAATGCTGGGCAGACAATCCCAGTGGCCAGGCGACTGGGAGAGACAGGCCGGACAGAAACAGCCTGTTTTCAGCAATGGAAGGAAGTTGCTGCTTGGCAATCCTGGGGTTGGTGTGACAATATCCTGAGGCCCCTCTACTCATTAGGGTCCTGCAAACAAGCAGAGAAGATGGCTGGCAGTTAGGGGTAGGAGCCCTGGTTTTGGACCCTCCCCGCCTCAAAGTTCTTTCTTTTTCCTCTTTTTTCTGCTTCTCCCCCACCTCCAACCCCCAATTGTCTTCTATTCCTTTTGTATTTTTTAATTGAAAAACAGTTTCCACCCTAAGTTGCATCCCTAGACCCCACTAATGTAAAGGCAAGTCGGTTTAAGGTTTCTAAGGCCCACTGAAGGCTGGAAATGGCTGACTGGCTTGGTGTGTCTGAGCAGGTGTTGTTTTGATTGCAGGGCCTCTGATGGTGATTGTTGAATATTGCAAATATGGAAATCTATCCAACTATCTCAAGAGCAAACGGGACTTATTCTTTCTCAACAAGGTAAGGAATTTAGGGGTTGGAGGTTAAGAAAGCAATAACTTTCCATTTAGGCTGTAACAGGATAAAGCAAGAGAAACCTATATTTTTCCATTAATGACTAAGCTTAAAATTCAATGTCTGGTTTTCTCTCCTTTTTAAAATATTCCTTCCATGCTAATATGTCATACTCTTTTCCATGGGCAGCACAGAGAATATTTGGCCCCAGTGTATGCAGTAACAATTAGGGGTTAAAATTTACTAGCCATCTATCTAAATACCCATAAAATCATCTTGATAACTTTATCTGCCTCTCTTCTTCTCCGTCTCCCTCTCTCCCCCCAGATATGCTGGACAGACAGAAATCACTTATTCACTTGTTTTTTTAAAAGATGATAGCAAGTGCAATTGTCTCAATTCATTATATTACAGAAATTAAGGACTCAATCAGCTGAGTGACTTTACAGTCTACAGGAGGCCAATGATGAGTCCTGAGGAAACATGTTCTTTCCTTCCTACTCCGCTTTCGCCCACGCCCCCACACCCGCACCCCTACCCACGCCCTGGACCAGCCTTGTCCACTAAAATAAAGCTATGTGATAAAAGGAATACATGGGTCCAAGTCCTAAAGGCCAACCAAGTTTAAAAGAGATTATTGAGTGGAGAAGAAAAGAGTTTAATAAAACTTTGCTGTATCACCCATCCCACCAATGTTCTATCCTTCTCTGGTCTGGAGAAGCTCAGGAGACAGTGATTCAACATTATTAACTGATAATCAGCAATATAGGTGATGAATCCATGTGTGTGGTGGTTAAGTACTCGGACTCTAGAATCAGACTGCCTATGTTTAAATCCTATTTCTAGCACTCATGAGATCTGGGACCTTGAGCAAGTTACTCAGTCTAAGTTTCAGTTTCTCACTTATTAAATGGAAGGAGTGACAAAGCCTAACTCACAGGATTGTTGAGAGAATTAAATACAGTTAAGCACTCAATGAGTGTTAACTATCGTCATCATCATTATTGACCCACTGAGATGTAAAGATTGGGTGAGTCCAACTTATGCAACTGATCTATATGATTTGTGTTATTGATTAAGTATCCATCATCCATGAATGGTGCAAATAAGAACCCCTGGACAGCTCGCCCAGTCTCTCATCTCCTAAACTTCGATCCTACTTGACTGGCAGCATATATGCAAAAACATATTTTCCCAAATTTTAAACCATGCCCTCTCATAATTAGAATTTTAAAGCTGAAAAGGGTCTTTGTGATCAGCTAGTTCACACTCTTACAGTATAGATGTGCCCAGAAAACTCAAGTGATTGACTTAAGAGCACACACCTACCAAGAGATGAAGTCAGGGAGAAGGAACCCAGCTCTCTCGTCTCCCCTTCCAATGCTTTTTCTGTGCCCTACGCTGGATAAGGAGGGGAAAGCATAGGAAGAAGTGGAAAGTGGTGCCCTGGGCAGAGAGCAGTGCAAATTCCCTTCAGTCCCTGAAATCCTGGACTGGCTTCAGGAAGAACTAAGCCAGCAGAATACCCCAGGGATCAGGGCAGGATGGAACGTTTGGGTTCGTGCGTCCTTTGTTTTGAAGAGTTTGCTTCCTTCTCTGGCTATATTTAATGATTCACCACCCTGTTGGTGGAGCCTAGTGTTTTTGTGGAAAACACATGGCTGTATTTCATATTTGGAACCTAAAGGAATATAAAGAGAAGGTGAAGGGAAAACCAAAAGGCAAAATAGAAATGGGATATTTTGTTTTCCAAATAAATCACTGTATTCTGACCGAGTCCCAAAAGTTCAGTAAATCAACCCTTATTTAACAGAAATGGTTACCAATAAACAAAGCTGAATAAACCGTTGATTGAGAGTCAGGAAGAAGGTGAGGGAGTTTGAATTATGGTCTTGGAGACATGCCCCAGGCTGAGATTTCTGGGAAAGTGAGGAAGAAGGCTGCCCAGAGAGCGCTGGCTGCCGCAGACCTGTGCTGCGAGCGGCCCGTCAAGCTCTTTCCTCCCCAACCCCTTCACCAGCGCTCTTCCTCTGCTGCCTTCTGTCCTGCAGGGGGCCTCGTCAAAAACAAAATTCCAGTGCCCAACTGAGCAGAATCAAATCGAACTGCCTCAGGGAGATGACAGTAACAAAGGCTTATGTTCTTCACCAGCTCTCAGGCGGGTCACCTGGGGTGGCAGTAGGTGTTCCCTCGGGGCCGGCGTCCCCTCCTGCAGCACAGGAAGGTGTCTTTACAAGGGCAGGAGCCTGATGCCCTCAACACCTCAGTTTGTCCCGCTGCCCCTCCTGAAGCTCCCTCCTCTGTCCTCTGCTTGCTCCCATTGTGCCCTCTAGTGGAGGGATCACTCCTGCTTTGTGACATGTGGAGGAAAAGCCCCGGAAGGAAGGGAAGACTGGTTAACCCTAGCACTGCCACATCGCACTGACGGATCAATGGACACCCCTGAACCCCAGGACCTCTAGGCCCCTTTTCAGTTGTGCCATCTAGCAGAATTGAGCTTAGGTATGTGGTCCTGTCATGAGGCCACTGTGAGTGCTAAATTTCTGTTGTCACGGTTAGATGAACTACTAATTGTGGTAAAAATCTTTGCTGATTCCACAAGAACACCCAGAGCAACAACTCCTTTTCAATGAGTCAAAACATGATGGGATGGTAGAGCTTTTCAGATGGGGAAAATGCAACCCAGAAAAGTAAGGTGATTTGCCCAAGATCACATATTTAATGGAAGAGCCAGATTACACACCAGGACTTGGATGCTCAGTCCAGGATGAAAGACCTTTTCTGCCCCTGTAGGGACCAAACTGTATCTTTGTTGTCATTGGAGGCCAGGGTTGGGGGAGGTTCATGTTCCCTCCTTTCCTGAGGAAACCAGAGAAATTGATTACTCTAGCCTTCTCCTATTACTCCTCACAGGGATTACAAAATGAAGCCCCAAATTCACTGGGGATCCTTTTCTATCATTCATATCATCTTCCACAAGATGGTGAGTAGTATGGAAAAGTGGTTAATGGTACAGACTAAAGATGGCTAACCTGAGTTCAAGCTTTCCCATTTACCAGCTGCATATGACTTTGGCCACTTGACTTCTCGGAACCTATTTTTTCATGTATAAGCAAGAACTATTTCACAGAATTGTTGGAAAGATTGAATGAGAAAATGTACCTGAAAATCCTAATATCCTGGCTCACGCAGCATAAGCTCTCAGTGAGTTCCAGCTGAGATTAATCCTCCCTTATCCTACCTAAGTTGCTGTCTAGAAGCCCTGTCAAGAGCAGCATAGACTCCACAACCCCAGGAGTAGACAGGCGCCTGGTCACCACGGGGCCCTTGCTGCTCACTTGCTCTCCATTGTGTGGCATGACATTCTCTCAACTCGGGCAGTAGCCAACTTGAGAGATTTCAGTCTGGGGCTTCCTTTCACCTGTGTCCTTCTTGTTCTGTGCAAAGGATGCAGCATTACACGTGGAACCTAAAAAAGAAAAAATGGAGCCAGACTTGGAGCAAGGCAAGAAACAACGACTAGATAGTGTCACCAGCAGCGAGAGCTTCGCAAGCTCCGGGTTTCAGGAAGATAAAAGTCTAAGCGATGTTGAGGAAGAGGAGGGTAGGTATTAATTCCTTCCTGTCCTACAGTCTGAGATATTTTTACAACCTACTGTGCATCTCTGAAATTTTTTTCTTATTTATCACCCTAATAAACATCCATGGGAGACTTGAAGGTTAATGTCCTGAGGAGATAAGATTTGAATTAGGATTATTTACAGAGTTACTAATTTTGACAAGGAACTCTGTACAATTGTCTCCCCTCAAGCCTTTCTGTCTTAACACACCCCTATGCTTGGGTAAAATGGGCCAGAGGCCTGGAAAAATCTCTGATATTTGTACTGAAACTCAAATGCTCTTGAAAATGAACTCTGATCCACTTGTTGGTTTGTTCTGTTTTATTAACATTGTTCCCATAAGCTGGGATTTGGCGGAATAGCAAGTGCCATTACAGACTGCTTTGGTTTTAATGCTTTCCAGATTCCGATGATTTCTACAAGCAGCCCATAACCATGGAAGACCTGATTTCTTACAGTTTTCAAGTGGCCAGAGGCATGGAGTTTTTGTCTTCAAGAAAGGTCAGCCTTGCTCTTCACGGTTATTCTTTGCCAAGCCTGGACATGTGGACACTAACATGGACAAACACACGTTTGCTCTAAATCCACTTTTCTTAGTATTTGCTTATGCTTATGTCCTTAAATGCAAAGTAAGCATCATGACAAATGCCTGAGTTTGTCCTGATAGGAGTGAGGAATTTTGATAACACGAGTCTTAGATACCAGGGGGTAGTACTTAACTCTAGGGAAAAATCTCAGCAGACAAACTTAGCCCCTATTTCCCACTTTGCCCTGCAGTGTATTTGCAACACTGGCCAGAGTTTCAGCATACACCACTTCCCAGCAGGGCTCTGTGAGCGCTGTGTAGTTTCCACAGCTCAGGATCAAAGGTTGGGGGAAACTTTGGCTCACTAGAAGAATTCGGTTGCAACTTCATTGACCAGGTTGCTGTGCTGTGAAACAGTAGCAAAGTAGATTCAGGCCTTGCCTTGACTGTGGGGCCTCCAGGGGCCTCTGTTTGCAAAGAGGCCCTCCACGTTTATGGCGACTCCGTGTGCACTGGGGGTTGCTTCCGTCATGTAACAGATCCTCGAAATAAGAAGAATAATGACACTGAGAAGCCGCAGGAAATTAGTCAGTTAGATTGAGGAAATGCATTGATTATGCAACTGTTTTTATTATAGTGCATTCATCGGGACCTGGCAGCACGAAATATTCTTTTATCTGAGAACAACGTGGTGAAGATTTGCGATTTTGGCCTTGCCCGGGATATTTATAAGAACCCCGATTATGTGAGAAAAGGAGATGTAAGTCAGTTTGATGTTTATTTGGCTCCTTTATACCCTATCACTTTTAAACCACAGACCAAAACCCTTGGTAAATATTTGCACTTCCTTGACAGTGGTCCCTCAAAACCATCGTGAGCTTTCTGGGGAGAAGCAGTTCAGATGGGCTGTGTCCCAGGGAGACCAACGTCTCCGGTTCTGTTCTCCCTCATTCCTGGCTTGGTCCCTGTCCTCTGGGCAGCGCTGCCTGAGCTTGCTAACCTGAGAAGTGTTTAGCAGGGCCCCGGGTGCCTCCCTTTGACTCCTGTGGGAGTTTTCAGCACCACTGGAAAGAACAGCCTGGACTCTTTCCCCAAATAAACCCGGGTGATTGATTCAGCAGGTGTATACATCTCAGGAAAGGGTGGGGGAAGGTACTGGTATTATCTTGCTGTTGAGGAAGCTGTGTCCCCACCCCCCTCTTCCCACCTTCCATGCCTCGTGTCCCCCCTGCTGGCTCACACTGGCTTCTCTTCCCTGCTTGTTTGTGGACATAGTGTTATGTTTCACTTTTGTAAGTGACCTCCTGTGTCCTCTCTCCTCCTGACTATACCCTGAGAGCTTAAGCCTGTGTGTGGGTTCTGCTGGTTACTCTACAGGAGTGGTTCTCAGACTTTAGTGAGCATACAAATCACCGAAGGGGCCTATCAAACTACAGATTGCTGGGCCCCACCCCCAGAACTTCTAATTTAGTAAGTCTTGGGTGAGGCCGGAGAATTTGCCTTTCTAAAAATGCCTAGATGCTGCTGACACAGCTGGGCCCAGGACTCTACTTTGAGAGCCACTGCTCCTCAGTTTCTTTTTATAAAAGAAAAAAAACAATCAACATACTTTCCTGGGGAGCCCTGGTTAGCAGAGATGGCATCTACCTATGGTGTCTGTCTGTCCCCTTCTGTTCATCTATGTCTCTTTCAGCCTCTCCCTGACCGTCCCCTTGCATTTTTCTCCGTCCCTCCACTGTCCCATACTTCTGGTCAATTCCCATCCATCTAAAGTGGTAAGGCCTAACTCACTGGGATTTCTGCTACCTAGAAGAGAACAAAAATTTGTCTGCACACCTGAACACCAGCCACATGTTGTCCTAAATACTGTCTCTCACTTTCTTTCTTTCCAATGTCTTTGCCCACTACACCATTCAATGACTTTTAAAATTCTGTATTGCTGCATAAGAATGCCTTTCAAAAATCCTCCTTCCTAAGAAAAAAATGCTGGAATTAATGGATTTCAGGATGCCTTCTAATTCAGAGCACTCTTTACCGGGTTGCTGAGGAGGGCAAATTTTGGGCAGGGAAATGATTTTTACAGAGTCATAGAGTTAAGACATACAGGACACATAGGAGGGGCTCACTAAACATTTATTATCTTCATAGGAATCAGTATAGCTTTTAGAATAACACTGCATGTTATAAGAGTTTACTCTGTGTTAGAAAACCGTAATTGCTCTAGGAAATTATTTCTGGCCAAATGTTATCTGGGAGGTGACCCTACGGGCCCTTGGGTTGAATGTGCTGCATTTGCATGTTCTTCTGCTCAAGGCCTCCTTGCCCTTTTCCAGACTCGACTTCCTCTGAAATGGATGGCTCCTGAATCTATCTTTGACAAAATCTACAGCACCAAGAGCGACGTGTGGTCTTACGGAGTACTGCTGTGGGAAATCTTCTCCTTAGGTAAATTTGGGGGAAGGAAGAGATCAGATAGACCTGAACCAAATGTCTACCAAGTGTACTTTGGATAGATACAACCTTTAGGTCAGCATCTGAAAGAACTGAAATCCCTTAGAGGCATGGCTCCATGTAGAGTCTCCAACGAGGAATGGTGCATGAATATGTACCCTGTATAGTAAAGGTGCTTTATACAAACACCAGAAAAAGTCAGACAGTATAAAATCTGAAGTCAGGTTTACATCCAGCCAATCCGGCTACTCCTTTTCCTGTCCTTTGCCCGCTTCTCCTAATTCCTCAAACACCTGGATTCCTAATGCCCTTCCTTCCTCCCTCTCTGCATCACTCCTCTTCTCAGAATTTTCTAGAAAAGGCCCCAACAGACACAGATCCAACAGTGTTAGGAACAGGAGGCCTTTCTAGCGCCACTAATAGTGACACAGCTGGTCCTGGACCCAGGTTTATGTGGGATGAAAAAAATGGGAACACTGGTTGTATTTATTCTTACAGTAACATCCACTGTGGGTGGCTAGAAACCATGTTCAAGGCCCCTAGCACAGAGATGTGCACAGAGCCCACATCAGCTTGCAGACACACACTGATGCTCTGAGGCCGCCCAAATGTCCCCACATCTAGCCAAGAGTCTTCTGGACTTTGGCAAAAATTTGCCTTTCAGAGCAAATAAAAGTCACCCAGTAACATCCCTGGTTTCCTGTAATGTGTGAAAATCATTCCTCTGCTTTCGATGACAGGCACCTGTTGCTTCCAGTCTTTGAAAGCAGTTTGGCGGCCACAATGGCCCTGACATGACACAGCGCCAGCGCTGCACGCCTCCCAGCTGCTTCCTACCAGCAGTAATCACTAGAAAGTGCAGACAAACAAATGCTGAGATAGACAAGGTTCGAGGTCTGGAACAGAGCAGACTAGAAGACCTGGTTCGTCACTACCTCCAGCCAAGAGTACCCCTGAAAGGAAAGGTTACGTGGGCATCCTGAACAGTAAAACTAGCAAAAGGCAAAGTCTGGACCCCTCTGGGACCCTCTGGTCCACAGACTCCTGTCCACAGGCAACCCCTACACTCAGCCTACTCCTGGAGCCCAAGGCCGCCCTTTTCCTCAGGCCTATCATAGCAACTAGGCTCCCTAGGTCCCAAGTTTACAGGAAAGTAGTGAATTAAAATCATTCTTACTGAGATGTGAATAATCCACAAGAGACCTATTCCAAGTCCCTTGTTCTTTTAAAAAGAAAGTCATTGACCCAGGGAATGAGTCTCTCATAATAGGATTTCTTTAGAGTTCCTTGCAGGGAGAGGGAAGAGACCCTTTAGATGATACCCTCTCTCCTGACCAAACAGACAGGAGTAGCCACAGGAATGACTGGGGGGCATCCAGCACCATGGGACAAACCAAGCACATGTGTGTCACTAGCAAGGATTTGCTGAGCTTCAGTATGGATTGTCCTGTGTGTGGAGATCCATTGCAATCACTGGGAGTTTATTACTAAACTATCACTTTAAAGGGAGGAAACAGGCACTGAATTACCCCTCATGGTCTTTTGTACCCTGAACCCATAATGTGCACTGTGCTTTCCCCATGTCCCGGCAGGTGGGTCTCCATATCCAGGAGTACAAATGGACGAGGACTTCTGCAGTCGCCTGAAGGAGGGCATGAGGATGAGGGCTCCTGAATATGCAACTCCTGAAATGTGAGCCCTTGGGCCCCTCCATTCCCTACCTGACAGCTCTTGTCCCAGCCGGATATCTCAGAAAGGGGATGTTCTGTTGAGTTTTAGCCTCGAGCAGGCCCAGCTGTGCTGGGAGTATTTTCCAGAAGTGAGAGACACATTGTCCTTGCTCCATCCTTACCTGTTTCCTCTCTTGATCACTGGCATGACTTTTTAAGACCTCTGGCTGGTAACTGAAGTCAGAAACTCAATTCTGGTATGAATCTGGGCAAAACCAACAGACAACTCAGGAGCTGAATGTAAGACCTGTCCTCACGCACAAAGTAGAAGCCAGATGCACTAAGCAGCCACAGGGATGAAGGACTAGAAGCCACCAAGGCCAGTCCTCTATCTTCACTAAAGACCAGTTAGGGGATTTGGTTTGGAATGCAGTGGAAGAGGAATAGGAGAGGAACGGGGGCATTTCCTGATGGAATTAGTAATTACATTCCCCAGAGGCTACTTGGGCAGTAAGACTGCTTTAGGCTCAGTTGAGGAATCGGCTGGACAATTGTCTGCAGCTTCTTCTTGAGGTGATTTCCTGTTGTGCAGCCCTGTGACTCCAGGAAGATGCCGGACTCTGTGTGAAGGTTTCTCCATTGTTCAGTGCTTGCTTGCCTCTCTGGGATGCTCATTTTTCCCGAAGCTTTGTGGATGTTTTGCACTTTGAGTCCTGAGCAGGAATGTGATGACACTTGCAATTTTGTTGAGCTGCTGACAAGGACATGGGCCTCCCCAGGGTGGCACCACCTTTCCTGAACTGACAGGCGGCCCTCCACACCCCACCCGCACAATGGGGTCCTGTCCAAAGCCCTGGGATGGCCTTTGAGGAGGAGTCAGAGAGAATGAAGGAAGTGTGGGCTTGGCCAAAGTGCAAGGTCGCGGTCTCTTTCCTTCGCGTCTGGAGACAAGGTTAGGTCAGATGCAGGACGAGGACAGGGGACTCAGGCCTGTGAAGGCAGAGTTAGTGAGCAGCCTTCATGCAGAGAGGAAAGAAGGGGCAGAGGGGACCCGTTCTTGTCAGTCCTACACAATGCTGTCCTCATCAGGAACATGCAGGGAGTTTGAGGCAAGGCCCCTGTCTGAGAGGTGGGGACAGATCCATTAGCCCCTGGGCAGCATTGGGGTTATAATGTTGAAGGCATTGAGAGTTTTTAATTACTTGCTTCCTTTTACTTGGTAGAGAGAGGAAAGCACTGGGAGATCTGGTTTAAAATGAGATTACTTTACATTTTAGGTTTTCTATGTGTTTTCCCCCGTACCATCTCATTTGAAGTTCCCAGCAACCTTGAGGAGCAGGCAGGCAGACGTATAATCTGACTTTGATAAATAATGAAACTAAGCCCCTAACAAGTGAAGTGATTTGCCCACCATCAGCTAAGTAGTAGAGGAGACAAATTTAGAAGGCTGTCCCTGGGGCCGGTCTCCCTAGATCCCAGGAAACTGTTAAATTAGGAACACACCCCACGTGCCTTAGTAGAAATGTTTCTCTAATACGTCGCAGTCATGCTCTGAATTAAATAGTCCTTTCCACTTTTCACATAATGTGGAAATCACAAGAGTGAGTTCTTTATTACTAACAGTGATAGTAATAATTGTAGTCATTATTAAACAATGTTTAATAGTTATTTAGTGCTTATAAAGTTCCAGGCACTGTTTTTAGTACTTTTAATATATATTAATTTTCTTAATGCTCATAACAATTCCATGAAGCAGGTACTATTATTATCTCCATTTTGCAGAAGAGAAAACCAAAGTATAGGGCATCTAAGTGCTTTGCCACATCACTTGTAAGTTAAGCAAAATCAGTCTGAGTCCAGAGTCCACAAAACTATGTTACATACCTGCAGGCTATATTTCCAATTCTTACCCAGCTCCTGGTCCAAAATAACTGTAGGGCTACACAGTCATATCAACTTTGGACTAAAAGCTCCCTTGGACTTTACCAAATCTTCCAGTCTTCACATAAACCTCTCCCAGGTAGCCCTGGTACCCCACGCAGCCCTTAAATAGGATTGTTTCTTAATTCTAGGGGTTTATTTCAGGAATGATAGAAAGAAGCAGCTTTTGAAATGTTGTCAAGCATATGAAAGCTGCTGGGGTGAGGATGAAGTGCAGTTCTCAGAACTGGGATTCTGTGACCTGAACTCGGCCTAAAGTGGCATGCACTTGGGAGCTTGGGGGACAGCTAGGACAGGAAGTTCTTCCCCTAGGCCCCTCACCCCTGGCTTGTTGCGAGGAGGACTGTTGGATTGAGTGCACTGGTGTCCCTTTGCTGTACTAAACCTGTTTACTTAGTGATGTAAAACTGTTTAATGCTCACTTGTTGGTTTTCTGCCCAGAGCCTATTTAATCAGATGTCTTTCAATGTGGAAATAAGCGGTTTATGTTTTTTTCCTCTTCCTTTGGTGTTTGCTGAGATAATTTGCATTGAATTTTAGGCAAGAGAAGTGGAAACTAGAAATCAGAAACCAAGAATCAAAATACAAAACACCAACAAGTTGTAGGTGGTCTGTCTGGCTAGCTTCAGCGCTGAGAACTTGGAAGAGCCCTGCAGGGTGGCATCCCCCTGGGCTCACTCAATGGGAAGTGATGCCGCTGGCTTGAGACAAGTCGGTGCTCTCACTGGTGCTCCTGCCTTGGGGGCTCCTTGTTGTCTTCCCAGCCCAAGCCTTTCCTGCTTTGGCTTCTTTTTATAGCTCATCTGCGCCTGTTTCATGTTCTTCCAATGGCTTCTGCGAATCTGGTTATTGCTAAAGGTACAGGAGCCTTGGACAGTTAGGCTTGAATGCGGTCAGGTGGGAGCCGGCCAGCCTCTGCCGTCACAGCCCATGCACCTTGGGGTGAGGGATCTGACTTTTCTCTAGTGATCAGTGGTATATACATTTTTGCACCTATCTTAGCATTAGTAAAATGGGTAAACTTACCTTAAAATGAGATTCACATAGGATTTTGCAGACTATCTGTGTTATGGTGGTTCAGACCTGGGCCTGAACGAGTGCCTTAAGCCCTCACTCTGAGGCACTGCTGGCCAGGGACAGTTTGAGACCTTGGGCATTGAAGCCCTGGCCTGTGTCTTCCTGAGAACAAGGGCAATGGCCCAGAGTTAGAGTTCCCATCTTCGTTCCCAGTCTCCTCTGTCTGTAATTGAGTCCCAATGCAGTGTTCCACACACACCCTCGAAAGGGCCCTCACAGCTCCCAAACTGGTTGGCCCACTCCATACCCGCTGGGAGTTAGGCAGAACAGGCACAGGGTGAAACATAAGGGTGGGAGGGAACCAGAGTCACCTGAGAAGAATAGGAGAATTTGTGATTCAGACAAGTAATCTTCATGAGCTCCTGTTCCCAGTCAGAGGCCTCAGACATCTGCTTACTGAGTACTTGTCAGAAAACATAACCTCGACACCAAACTGTGAAGAAAGCTTGCATTTAAAGACTGGTACTTGGGACGGTGTCCCAAGACCACTGGTGCACCGCTCCCCTGGGCACCGAGAAGTTTATCCCTGGGTTAATTCAGAACCTTAGGACACATCACCTGGACCGCGCTGTTTTGCCTCTCAGAATTGTTTTTACTGAATGGGATTTTTTCTGTGAAGACTTTGGGCAACATTAAAAGACAATGTACGAGACACTCCCACAAAGTCATTATTACCTAGGTAGCCATGATGTTGAGAGGCATCCAGCGGGGGGCCTCCTTTCACATTTCAGTTCTAGGAACAGCCATGCTTCTTCCAAGTAACGAATTTGTTTTGAACTTCTGACTTATGTGTGTCATGTAACTGATTGTGCTGTATTTTTGCCAGCTGCTTATGAATCATGATATAAACTTTGCATATTAAATTTGCCTGTAGTTCCACTCTTTTAATCTGTTTTACCTTCCTTCTGACACTCTCATTTTCTCTTTTTTATATCTTTCTATACTCTCTCTTTACCAGCTGCTTCATACTCTTTGAAGCCAAGTCGGGCTCTCCTTCGAAGACAGCCTGAAAGTATGAGGCAGGGAAGCAGCAGAGGTCAGAGGGCACTGGGTTCCTTGGGTGCCCTCCCCTCCCCAAGAACAGTTTGACCTCCTTCAGCTTATGTGCCAGGCCCTGAGCTGGGAAAGGAGTGTGGCCATAAGGTCTCTACCCAGTACCAAATTCTGAGCCCATTCAGACTTTTAAAAAATATATTTTATGATTATGCTATTACATTTCACTCAATTTTTCCCACTTTGCCCCCCTCCACCCAGTGCCCCCCATTCCTTCCAGCAATCTCCACACAATTGTTCATATCCATGGATCATACATTTAAGTTCTTTGGCTTCTCTGTTTCCTATATTGTTCTCAACACCCCCTGCCTATTCTGTAACTACCAATTTGTACTTCTTAATCCCTGCACCTTTTCCCCCATTCTCCTCCTCCCCCCTCCCAGCTGATAACCCTCCATGTGATCTCTATTTCTGTGATTCTGTTCATGTTCTCCTTGTTTGCTTAGTTTCCTTTTTAGACTCAGTTGTTGATAGTTGTGAATCTATTGCCATTTTAATGTTCATCACTTCGATCTCCGTTTTCCTAAATAAGTCCTTTTAACATTTCATACAATAATGGCTTGGTGATGGTGAACTCCTTTAGCTTCTCCTTGTCTGGGAAGCACTTTATCTGCCTTTCAATTCTAAATGATACTTTGCTGGATAGACTAGTCTTGGTTGTAGGTCCTTGCTCTTCATCACTTTGAATACTTCTTGCCAGTCCCTTCTAGTCTGCAAAGTTTCTCTTGAGAAATCAGCCGACAGTCTTATGGAAACTCCTTTGTAGGTAACTATCTGCTTTTTTCTTGCTGCTTTTAAGATTCCCTCTTTATCTTTAACCTTTGACATTTTAATTATGATGTGTCTTGGTGTGATCCTCTTTGGGTCCATCTTGTTTGGGATTCCCTGCGCCTTGTGGAGTTGCATGTCTATTTCCTTCACAAAATTAGGGAAGTTTTCTTTCATTATTTTTTCAAATATGTTTTCAATTTCTTGTTCTTTCTCTTCTCCTTCCAGCACCCCTATGATTCAAATGTTGGTACGTTTGAAGTTGACCCAGAGGTTTCTTAATCTACCCTTGTTTTTTTGGATTTTTTTTTTCTTCTCGCTGTTGTGATTGAATGTGTTTTTTTTTCCCCTTATGTTCCAAATCATTGATTTGATCCTCAGCTTCATCCATTCCTCTGCTGGTCCCCTGTAAGTTTTTCTTTATTTCACTTAGTGTAAGCTTCATTTCTGCCTGGGTCTTTTTTATGTTGTTGAAGCACCCAATGAGTTCCTTGAACATCCTAATAACCAGTGTTCTGAACTCTGTATTGGATAGATTGCTTATCTCCATTTTGTTTAGTTCTCTTTCTGGAGTTTTGTTCTGTTCTTTCATTTGGGCCATGTATCTTTGTCTGCTCATTTTGGCAGCCTCTCTGTGTTTGTTTCCATATGTTAGGTAGAGCTGCTTTATTTCCCTGACTTAGCCGCATGGCCCATTGTAGAAAAGTGCGCCAGTAAATTGGATGGGGCAGTGCCTTAGGTAATTGCCTGGGTGGGACAACCTATATGATAAGATTGATGGAGCCTCCGACATGATGTTGCTGTTCTGTGGCTCTGTGTTGGTGAAGGCTCAGAAAAGGGACAGTGCCACTGCCTGATCTCTGTAGTTTTGTCGGGGAGGAAGCTGTCCCCCAGCACTCACCCTGATGTCAGGCACTTCCAGTTTCTCCCTGTATGCCACTGGTGCCCTTCCAGCTGCTGCCCCAGTGCTGAAGCCCAGAGGGAGTGAGTCTGCTTGAGTCCTGAATCTGTTGCAGGCCATTTAACAGGAGACATCTGAGAATTCTGCAGTTTCTTCTATTACCCCAACCCCCACTGTTTTTCACAACCAGAAGTTATGGGGACTTATCTTCCTGGCACTGGAACCCTGGTCTGGGTGATCTGGTGTTGTGCTGGGATCCCTTGCTCCTGACGTATCCTGCCTGATTTTTATCCACCATGGGGTTGTGGGATCACCCATTCTGCGTCTTCCCATCTCCATGCTTCTCCATGTGTCTCCACATCCCTGCCCCTCTGATCCATCTGGATGAATGTGACTTTTTTAATTCCTTGATTGTCAGACTTCCACACAGCTTGGTTTTCTGACTATTCCAGGTGATCTTTGTTTTGAGTCCAGTTGTAATTTTTGTGTGGGAGGTGAGTCATGTTTCCCTATGCCTCCATCTTGACCAGAAGTCTCTGCATTCATATTTAGATCTTATTCAGTCAGACTCCTCTCTCATCCAGATGATCTTCTGAGAGAAGAGATTACTTACCATAAACATCGCTTGAGCAGAGCAAAGAGCCAAAAAAATAAATCCTCAGGCCAGTATGTGTGCAGACAGCTTGGGTGTGTTTTGCTAAGAGGGGCAGGTAGAGATCTATACTCCCTGCAGACACAAGCAAGAGAAGGGCCCAATACCTTCACTTCTTAAATGTCAGAGAAGAATCACAGAGCAACATGCTGACATTGAAATCCCAGGACAAGTTTCAGCTTCTGTAATATTAAGACAAACATTTTCATGTCCAGAAGCCCAGCCTGTATTTTTTGCCTTAAGTGGTAGGAAGCTAGTTTGTAATGGCGGCTTTGAAATGCTAGAGGAAAATCAGCCACACACAAGGACCTTGCACACAGCCCAGGGAAATGCTCACACTAAAGGTGATGTGAGTCCTGTACACAGGGCCTTCGCCATCAGTCTCCACAGCTGAGCTCAATAGCGTAACTGTGAGGAGTTGGAAATGCCACATGCCGACCTCTGTTACAGCCCGAGAATGTACTAAGTGCTGCAAACTATGCATCCACTAATATTTGTGTCTATGTTAACTTTTGCCTTTAAGGACATTGTCTTTTGGCAGTGAGGAGAGAAGTACTACACTTCAGATCTAACTACAAGTGAACAATGTTTTTTCCTTTCCAAATAACTCTGGGTCAGGGATGGACCCTGGAGAGTAGTTCATTAGTCTGCCCTTGTAGACATATTTTCCACTACTGGCAGGACCAGACCCCAACCACCACTTACATGTTGCTGCTGCATATGCCAATCTACAAATGCAGGCAGATATCATACAAAAAGCATACTCTTTATATGCATGACAACACTCATCACTTTGCTGTCATGCCATTGATCTTTGTAATTACCCTGCTCTCCAGCCATTTCTGTTGTGCTCCCACCGACAGCTACCAGATCATGCTGGACTGCTGGCACAGAAACCCCAGAGAAAGGCCAAGGTTTGCAGAACTTGTGGAAAAACTTGGCGATCTGCTTCAAGCAAATGTACAGCAGGTAAAGCTAAATTTGTCTAGCATATGAGAACCCAGGTGCCTTTGAGTGTTAGTCAAAGGGACAAAGGGATGTTTTAATAGGTGAGATCAGCAGTTAAAAAAGTGGTGTGTTTGCATGCATACATGTGCACACAGTTGTCTTTCACAGAATGATCTTTCCAAAGCAAAACTAAGATTGTGTAAATGACATAGTTGAAGCTGACACAATGTTCCACAGAAATAGGTTGAAGTAGAAATTTCTGCACTTAGAACTTGATCTTTGGTATTTTAGGATGGTAAAGACTATATCCCACTAAATGCCATACTGACAGGAAATAGTGGGTTCACATACACAACTCCAGCCTTCCCAGAGGACTTCTTCAAGGAAGATAGTTCAGCTCAAAGGTTTAATTCAGGAAGTTCTGGTAATGTCAGGTAAGATTTCTTTTTTCCCCTCAACTTTATACTATTTTTAAACATACAAAAAATTGCACCTCCTAAATTTAATGGTAGTTAACAGCCCTATTTTGTCTATATCTATATTGATATATCTATACATAGTTTCTCTGTATTTTTCTTTTTGCTGAAGTGTTTGAAAGAAGGCTTAAGTCATTGTGACACTTGATGCCTAAATACCTTGGTATATATCTTGTAAGAAGGACATTCTCCTGTGTAACCACACAAAATTATCACACCAAAGAAATTAATACTTTAATATTGTTAAATATTCATATTTCCCCAAATGTATTTTACACATTCTTTTCTTCAGTTCCTTTTATCTCTTATTCTAGAATAATTCCTCTTTCTTTAATGACATCGACTTTTTTTCATGTGTATCACACACGTTCAGTACTAACAGTTACACATATGACATGTTACTAATTGTTATCACATGTTATCACACATTAGTACTACTGATTACACATGTATGGCACCTCCATACTAATGGTTATACATGTATCATGCACATTCAGTACTAATGGTCACACAGATGCATGCTGTGTGTGGATTGGCACTGGGCTAGGCTTTTTGCATATATCAACTCCTTTAATGCTCAGAATAATCCTATGAAGAAAATACTCTTATTCATGTTATACAGTTAGGGACATTAAGGCTCAATGGAGAATAACTTGCCAAAACTGTGTGCCTAGAAAGGGCCAGAAGAGCATTTGTAACCCAGGTGTTCTGACACTCTTTTCTGGTTCCCATGCAACTAGAACTCTTTTTAGGACTAAAGATCCTGTAGGCCTCTTAGCATCTTTATCTGCAATACCAAAACCCTTGGACTCTGCCCTCACTTCAGCCAAACTTGGCAGAGGACCACGGAAGGCACTGGGAAATGCTGCACAGTCCGAAGAGACTGACAGCCTAGAAGCCCAGAGGCCAGCCCAGGTTTGTCATAATGGGTAATAGGTCAGTGGCACCGCTTACACTTCACAACCAGCCCAAGAAGCTGAGACAGATGAGTCATCTGTTTTTTAAAGGTGAGAAAACTAGCTTGGGTTAAATAAATTGGCAGGGTCTAGTTAACTCAGAGATTGGGGGAGAGGAGTGTCAAAGTTATTTGGGCCCTTCCAGTATTGCTTTGCCTTAGACCCAATAGAGAGCTTGTCTAAGAAAATGGGCCTTGCATGACTGCTGAGTCCAGAGCGGCAGTCACAGATCGTAGATCCCTGGCTACAGGGGGTGCAGAGTAGTCTAGAGATGCTTGAGGAGAGACTAGAGACAGAAGCTTTGGAGTGAGAACTGAGGGACTAGCTGGCAAGAACGTGGTGCTGACTGTTCCACCATATGGCAGCAGCCATCTTGCTCAGGCAGACCACTCCCCTGAGTGGTAGCAGCATGAGATGACACAATAACCCTGCCCACAGGAGGACTCTAACCCATCCTATGATGCCTAAGTCTGACTGCTAAGTGCATAGTGACTAGATTAACAATGGGAGGAGACAGCCACAGGCAGTAGATTCCTGGAAGTGTCAAACTGACTGCCTAAGGTCAGACGGGAACAACACCTGACATCATTAGAGGCAGATCCAGAAAGAAAAAAAGAGAAGAGCAGATTCCTACCGTAGAAGTTCACACCACAAAGTCCGCAATCAAGACAGATCAATTTAAGAAGCAGAAGCAAAAAAGAACAGTCTCACAAATAATGGGAAGACAAAGAAACACCCCCAACTCGGAGACAAAGGAGGAATTCCCAGAAAGAGAACTAAATGAAATAGAGGCAAGTAAACTATCAGATATTGAGTTCAAAACAACGGTTCTAAGGAAGATCAGTGAGCTCAGTGAGCTCAAAGAGAATTACCAAAAACTACAGTGAAACTATAAGGAACTTACTGGAAACTATATCAGCATGAAAAAGGACATATAAATTATCAAGAGACAAGAGGACATGAAGAATACGATATCTGAACTGAAGGACAGAGTAGAAGAAATCAAAAGCAGGTTAGATGAAGCAAAGGAACAAATCAGTGACCTGGAGGACAAGGTAGAAAGAAACTCCCGGAAAGAGCAAGAAAATGAAAAAAGACTCAAAAAGAATGAAGAGGTATTTAGGGAAATGCAGGAAAACCTGAAACATAATAATTTCTGTATAATAGGGATACCATAAGGAGAAGGGGATGCGGAAGGGATAGAGAACCTGTTTGAAAAAATAATGATGGAAAAATTCCCTAATTTTAGGAGAGAAAAAGTCACACAAGTCCAGGGATCACAGAGGGTTACATTCAGAGGAACCCAATGAGGCCCACTCCAAGACACATTTTAATAAAAATGGCAAATATCAAAGACAAAGAGAGAATCCTAAAGGCAGCGAGGGAGAAACAGGTAGTAACATACAAGGGAGCCCTGATATGGCTAGCAGCTGACTTCTAGCAGAAACACTACAAGCCAGAAGGGAATGGCAAGAAATATTCCAAGGAATGAAAAACAACGCCCTGCAACCAAGACTGCTCTACCCAGCAAGACTCTCAATTAAAATGGAAGGCAAAATAAGGAGTTTCCCAGACAAAAGGAGGCTAAAAGAATACACCTGTACAAAACCAGCAGTACCAAATATGCTAAAGGGATTATTTTAAAAGATGAAGAAAAAGAGTGAGAAAGAGAGGAACACAGGTACAAAGAGAAAAAATAATTAAGTACCTATCAATAATAACTTTAAATGTAAATGGATTAAATACCCCAATCAAAAGACATAGTATAACTGAATGGATACAAAAACATGACCCACACATATGCTGCTTACAAGAGACCTACCTCAGAACAAAGGACCTACAGAGACTGAAAGTAAAGGGATGGAAAAAAATATTACAAGGAAATGGATAGGAAAAGAAAGCCTGGGTAGCAATACATATATCAGACAAAATAGATTTCAAAACAAAGGCCATAAAAATACACCAAGAAGGACACTTCATAATACTCAAAGGAAGAATCCATCAAGAAGACATCAACATTGTAAACCTATATGCTCCCAACATAGGAGTACCCAAATATATAAGGAAATCTTGGAGGACTTCAAGAAAGATATGGACAGCAACACACTGATAGTAGGGGATTTTAACACCCCACTATCAACAATGGATAGATCTTCCAAACACAACATCAACAAGGATATTGGGGAGCTGAACAATGCATTAAATCAAATGGACTTAACTGATACATATAGAACCTTTCATCCCAAAGAGGCAAAATACACACTTTTCAAATGCACACGGAACATTTTCAAAGATAGAGCACATGATAGGACACAAAACAAGCCTCAACAAATTCAGGAAAATTTAAATCATAACAATATTTTCTTGGACCCCAAGGGCTTGAAACTAGAAAACAACCTCAAGGAAAAAACTCAAAAACATTCAAACTCATGGAGACTGAATAGCACGCTATTAAACAATGAATGGGTCAATAATGAGATCAAAAAAGAAATCAGAAAGTTTCTGGAAACAAATGAAAATGAACACATAACAGTCCAAAATCTATGGGACACAGCAAAGGCAGTCCTGAGAGGGAAGTTCATAGCAATACAGGCCTACATAAAAAAGATAGAAACATTTAAAATAAATGACCTAACCCTACAGCTTCAAGAACTGGAGAAACAACAACAAACATAGCCCAGAGTGAGTAGAAAGAAGGAAATAATCAAGATCAGAGCAGAACAGAATAACATAGAGAATAAAAGCACAATTCAAATGAACAACCAATCCAGGAGCTGGTTCTTTGAAAAGATAAACAAAATTGACAAGCCTTTAAGCAGACTCATCAAGAAAAAAAGAGAGAGGACCTAAATAAATAATATCACAAATGAAAGAGGAGAAATTACAACTGATACTACAGAAATACAAAGAATTATAAGAAATTACTATGAACAATTATATGCCAAGAAATTTGAAAACCTGGGGGAAATGGACAAATTTCTAGAGATATACAGCCTTCCAACACTGAATGAAGAAGTAGAAAGGCCGAACAGACCAGTAACAGCTGGGGAAAATGAAGTAGTAATCAAAAAACTCCCAACACACAAAAGCCCTGGAACAGATGGTTTCCAGGAGAACTTTAAAAAACATTTAAGGAAGAACTAACCCTTGTCCTTCTCAGACTATTCCAAAAATTCCGAGAAGAGGGAAGACTCCCAAACTCTTTTTATGAGGCCATCATAATTCCAACACCAGATACAGACACAACAAAGAAAGGAAACTACAGGCCAATATCACTGATGAACATAGATGCTAAAATCCTCAACAAAGTATTGGCAAACCACATCCAGCAATACATTAAAAAGATCATCCATCATGATCAAGTGGGATGCATCCCAGGGATGCAATGGTGGTTCAATATTCACAAATCAATAAATGTAATACATCACATAAACAAAAGGAAAGACGAAAACCACATGATCATATCGATAGATGCAGAGAAAGCATTTGATAAAGTACAGCACCCATTTATGATAAAAATACTCAGCAAAGTGGGAATAAAGGGGCCATACTTCAACATAATAAAGGCCATCCATGAAAAACCTACAGCCAACATCATATTCAATGGGCAAAAGCTAAAAGCTTTCCCACTAAGATCAGGAACAAGACAAGGATGTCCACTTTCACCACTTCAATTCAACATAGTATTGGAAGTCTTAGCCACAGTGATCAGACAAGAATAAGAAAAAAAATGCATCCTAATTGAAAATGAGAAAGTAAAACTATCATTGTTTGCAGATGACATGATAGTGTACATAGAAAACTCCTTAGACTCCACCAAAAAACTACTCGACCTAATAAGTGAATTTGGCAAAACAGCGGGATACAAAGTCAACATTCAGAAATTGAAGGCATTTTCATACAACAACAATGAAATATCAGAATCAGAAATCAGGAAAAAGAATCCCACTTGCTAGAGCAAAAAGAAAAATAAAGTACCTAAGAATAAATTTTACCAAGGAGGTAAAAGACCTGTACGCAGAAAACTATACAACACTGAAGAAAGAAATTAAGGAAGACACAAATAAATGGAAGCATATACTGTGTAATTAACATCATCAAAATGTCCATACTACTCAAAGCAATGTATAGATTCAAAACAATCCCTATTAAAATACCAATGACATATTTCACAGACATAGAACAAACATTTAAAAAATTTATATGGAACCACAAATGACCCCGAATAGCTGCAGCAATTTTGAGAAAGAATAACAAAGTAGGCGGGATCACAGTATCTGACACCAAACCATATTACAAGGCCACTGTAATCAAAACAGTCTGGTATTAGCATAAGAACAGACACATAGATCAATGGAACAGAATAGAGAACCCAGAAATAAACCCATGTCTCTATGGTCAATTAATACTCAACAAATGGGGCAGATGCATAAAAATAGCCTCTTCAACAAATGGTGTTGGGAGAGTTTGACAGCTACATGCAAAATATTGAAATTTGACCACCAACTTACACCATACACAAAAATAAACTAAAGATGGATAAAAGACTTGAATATAAGTTACAACACCATAAAAGTCCTAGAGGAGAACATAGGCAGGAAACTCTCTGATATCCCACACAGTAATATTTTCACCGATATGTCCCCTAGAGCAAGGGACATAAAGGAAAGAATAAACAAATGGGACTTCATCAAAATAAGAAGCTCCTGCACAGCTAAAGAAAACATCAGCAAAATGAAAAGGGAACCAACTGTATGGGAAAATATATTTCCCAATAATACCTTGGACAGGGGTTTGATCTCCAAAATATATAAAGAACTCACACGACTCCACTCCAGGAAGACAAAAAATCCAATTAAGAAATGGGCGAAGGACCTGAACAGATACTTCTCCAACGAGGACATAAACAGGGCCCAGAGACGTATGAAAGGATGCTCATCATCACTAGCCATCAGAGAAATGTAAATTAAAACCACAATGAGATACCACTTCCCACCCATCAGAATGGCCATCATAAATAGATCAACAAACAACAGGTGCTGGCGAGGCAGTGGAGAAAAGGGAACCCTAGTACACTGTTGGTGGGAATGCAGACTGGTGCAGCCACTGTGGAAAACAGTTCAGAATTTCCGTAAAAAGCTAAAAATGGAACTGCCTTTTGACCCAGTGATTCCACTGCTGGGATTATACCCTAAGAATCCCAAAACACCAATTCAAAAGGACCTATGCACCCCAATGTTCATAGCAGCACAATTTACAGTACCTAAGTGCTGAAAGCAACCTAAATGCCCATCAGTAAATGAATGAATCAAAAAACTATGGTACATTCACACAATGGAATACTATGCAGCAGAAAGAAAGAACTACTATCCTTTGTAACAGCATGGGTGGAATTGGAGAACATTATGCTAAGTGAAATAAGACAGGGGTGAAAGACAAATACCATATGATCTCACCTATAAGTGGAACCTAATCAACAAAACAAACAAGCAAGGAAAATGTAACCAGCAACATTGAACGAAAAAAGAAACTGACAATAATGAGAGGGAAGGAGGGAGGGGAGCAATGGGAAAGGGAAGGGGAAGGGTCAAGTCAAGGAACATGTATAAAGGACCCATGGGCAAAGCCAAAGTGGGGAAGGATTGAGGGAGGGAGGTAGAAGTGGGTGGGGCAGGGGAAAGTGGTGGTATGAAAATGGAGATAAATGTATTTGAACAATAAAAAAAATTAAAAATAAAAAAAGAAACTGGGCCTTGCAGATGGTGACAGGGTATGAGGCTGAAAACTTGTCTTATGAGTAGTCATATGGTAGAAAGCTGACAGTCCTTCCTAACAGGTCACCAACAAAAGGCCAGGAGATAGTTATGGGCAATCACACAAATATTACCCATTTTTGCCAATCTGTAACACAGAATTTAATATACAAGACTAGCTTTAGTACTCAATTGTACCATTAAATCAGCTGTTTGACTGTCACAGGTCATTTCATTTATTCCATCACATTCTTTTAGAAGTAGGCAGCTACATGATAAAGTCAAGTCACTTCTCTGGGCATTATATCCTCTCCTTTGTAATGTGGGTGTTTAGACTGGATGACTCAGGTCTCTTCTAGACCTCCCATTTTCTGATTCCACAAGGGGCCAGAGGCCTACCCACTACTGGGGGAAGGGGCGTCACTGTCAGGACTCCTAGGGGAACTTCAGTCTCAGGAGTAAGGTGATTCCTTATGGTATTTTGGTTCATCTTTGCTGGGATGTGGTGTCCATGGTCTCCTGACTAATCAAAGCTGGATGTATTTTCTTGTCTTGATTGTTCTTTCTGCTTCTTCATTAGATATGTAAATGCTTTCAATTTCATAAGCCTGGAAAGAATAAAAACATTTGACGAACTTTCACCAAAAGTCATCTCCATGCTTGATGTAAGTAGAGGGATTAGCTTACTCAGTGCACCCTGGCAAGGCCTTTTGCCAGACTTCACCCAAACACAAACTCTAGTAGTCTGGTGGCTCTCAGTCAATGCATACCAGTAATGAGTGGTGGCTGAAATGGCAGTTTCGGGGGGATTGAAACAACACAGTTATACAGAGCTCATTTGAAAGCAGGTAATTCCATAGTTTGATGACCCAGAATTCACTCCAGGATCCAAGTCTTTGCCTGGTCATAATTTAGTCCCTTAGGAAACTTCATTGTGTGTTTGTATGCTTCTTGGCTACCAGCAATGAAACCCTGCTTTCAGAGGAATAGAGACACTCAAAATGATGAGTGGCTGGGCCTTTGTGATGTGACACAGAACTCTCTCAAGAATAGCCTGAGACCCCAGAAGAAGTCTGTCTGGGCGCATGCTCCCTCCCACTGAGGTTCCAGAGACTGAACAGCCACGTTCCTACCCAGACACACTGGGAGGAGCAATCCATGTTGCCTGGCACACAGGAGGGCTCAACCAGCTTTGTCTCTTTAAAGCTCTGAGGTCTGGGGTTGAGGAAGTAGGGGAGGAGAGGGAGTGCTGCGCAAGTGTACCCCTGTGGCATCACAGACCCCTACACTCACAGTGTGATCCCCAGGAACATGCTGCTGCCACTAAGTGGGCTACAAAAGTTGGCTCTCAGGACCAGCCACACTCTCTGAGTCAGCCTCTGCACTGTCACAAGATCCCCAAGGGACTCACATGCACATTAAAGTTTGAGAAGTGCTGGTGATGACCATGTCCCACAGAGGGCCTAGAAAACCAGCTATAGTGGGCAGGAAATGACCACAGCGTGGCCTTCAGAGACAGCACAGTTACCATAAAAAATAAAAACAGCAAAACCTCTTCAAACACACCAAGTAAAGAGGAAAAGATTATTTAAACATTTAAATATTACAAATAAGCGCAAATACAAAGGTAAAGTAGCTGGAAATCTTGTTTCGCTGCTTAGTACATCAATTTTAGGTCCTGGGAAATGGTACTGAGCAAACATGGAGGATTTCTCTCAGTCTTACCCTCCCCACCCTCACCCAGTGGGGAACTACAGCAGCTTCTGTGCTGGCTCAGGCCTGCTTACTGACAATTAAGGACATGAACACAGCCCAGCAACAGGATCAAATGGTGGCAGGAAAAAGTATGGAATCTACTTACTGGAAATGGTGTATTAACAGAGTAATGAATCTGCATAAGATGTTAAAGATGAACCAACAAGAAAATAGAATTGTTGAAAACCGTGACCAAGAAGGGCCTGAAAATTCCAGAGTCTTCAAGAAAAAATAATAAGCTGTATCTTTATAATTTCTCAGAATTTTTGCATGTCATGGCCACCAAATAATAGCATTCTTATAGCCAATAGTCATCTGTCAGAGTTAGTTTCAATACGAGTTTGTCCAGAAAGAAGCCATCCATGTACTATGAAAAATAAAGATACTTATTTAAGAAGATATAGTACACAAGAAACATTGTACATAGAACAATGATGCCTCAGTCCCCTTCAAAGGAGGCACCTTGGGACTTCACATTGTTCTCCCAGTCACCATCAGCCACCCCAGCATATTTCCTTAATCTCAACAGTCTGAAATCTTTTCCCTTTCAAAGGTGATTTTAGTTTGGGGAAAAGCTAGAAGTCAAACGGCACCAAATCTGGGCTGAAGGGGGGCTGAGTCACCTGGGTGATTTGATGTTTCACCAAAAAATTCTGCACAAGACGTGATGCATGAGTGGGTACATTGTTGTAATGAAGCTGCCAATCAACAGTTGCCCATAGCTGTGGCCTTCTGAATCACCCAAATTGTTTCCGTGGAGGAATGTTCAAGATTAATGCAAAATTTGATGCAGATTCGTTACTCTACTCAGTCATTTTTTAATGCGATGGCCACACAGTACACATGCTCTCTCAATGGCATCTACCACCCCCACTGACTAATACAGCGAAGTCATCATTGTTCACACATGCGCATTCCAGTCCACTCTCCTTGGCTGCCAGGTTATATCAATGTCTTGCAAACCACTCATTAACAGCAGTTGGACTTTTTCCATACAGACCTCATATATTTATAAGATAATTTGCATAAAAGTTTACTGTGAAAAGTGCTCTTCTGTTACCGGCAGTTTCCCTTTTTGTTTTAATTTTTTTCTCTGCCTTTAGGAAGAAGGGCCTCAAAGCCACTAGGAATAGGCATTTCTTATGACTGACAAAGTTTATACTTACCAATATGGAGAAAATGCTTTGTTTTAATGGGCAGGGGTTGTGGAAGGTAAGGTCACAGCCTGGAGTGACTTTAAATGTGCATCCTCCTATCCTCCCCCAGATTTGGTGTGGACACATAGGTCATGCAAGAAGTATAACTTCTGTCCTTCTTCCCACCAGGATTACCAGGTGGACAGTAGCACTCTGCTGGCGTCCCCTTTGCTGAAGCACTTCCCCTTGACTGAGAGCAAACCTAAGGCCTCACTGAAGACTGAGTAAGGAAGCTGGGTATCTTTCCTATGATCAATTGATGGGGGGCGGGGGGTGGATGAAGAAAGATGTTGGGAAGGTGGTTTAATGGGGATATTTGAGAGCTACTTGTCCTCCTGAACCACAGTGTTCAGGCATTACAGAAAAATATTTTTCCCCCTCAGAAGAACAAGGAGAAGGACATAATATGAGCACTAACCTCTGGAAAGAAAAACTGTGTTTTAAGAAGAGAAAATATGCAGAAAAATCCAGCAAAGACAGGCAGTCCAAACACATGAAACACAGTGCCTCAGATGAAAGGAGCCTCATATGCCCAACGGTGAACAGAGCAAGCATCAGACATGCTGTGGGGCAAGAGAGAATTCACACCCATTGCTATACCCGGGGCTAGGGGCAGCCATATGAGAAGGGTCGCAGTGCTGTTTCCCAGTCCTAAAACAGGCCATCCTGAGGACCCAACCCTTCGAAGGAGGACTTGCTCCCTTTTGGATCCTGGCACTCCTCCTTATGTACAGTGGCCAGTGACAACTACTGTCAGAATTACTTCAGCCCTTGCTTTGTACTCCACTGGCCCCAGGTCACTTCAGCTCCTCTGCTAGTCTCTACCTGGGAACAGTGCTGGGCAGGGAAAGGCTGGGCCTGTCAGGCATTCCATCCTTCCCTAGTCCCAGTGCCTGCCCATCTCACTCACAGGAAGAACCTGCTCCTCTTTCATCTAAGTCAGGGGTCAGCAGGCTCTTTCTCAAGGGCCAGAGAATAAACAAAGACTCCATTCTGCTACTGCAGAGTAAAAATAGCCCGACAGTATATAAGCAAGGAGGTATGGCTGTGTTCCAATAAACTTCAAAAACAGGTGGTCCTGGCCAATGAGCACAGGAAAAGATGCTTATCAGTAGTCATCAGGGACATGCAAATCAAAACCACAATGAGATACCACTTCACACCACTAGGATGGCTAGAATGGAAAAGTCTCTTGGAGAGGATGTGGAAAAGTTAGAAGCTTTATACGCTGCTGGTGGGAATGTAAAGCAGCGCAGCCCCTGTGGAAAGCAGTCAAGCAGTTTCTCAGAATGTTCAGTACAGTCACTCTGTGACCCAGCCATTCCATTCCTTAGTATACACCCAACAGAAAAAAAAAACTATGTCCACCAAAAACTTGTACACAAGTGTTCATAGCAGCTTTGTTCATAACCAAAAGTAGAAACAACCCAGATACCCATCAATTGATGGATAAAAAACACAGCATATCCATACAGTAGACTATTATTTGACAATAAAAAGTATGAAGTACTGGGGGTGGGGGTGAGGGTGGCAAGAGCAGGACAAAAGGGGAAAAACAGACAGCTCTAATAGCACAATATTTTTTTTAAAAAGCATAATGTACTGATACATGCTACAACATGGATGAACCCTGAAAACGTTGTTAAGTAAAAGAAGCCAGTCATAGAATACCACGTATTGTATGAGTCCATTTATATGAAATGCCCAGGAGAGGCAAATCTATAAAGATGGAAAATGGATCAGTGGTTGTCTAGGCTGTGGGTGGGAGGTGTGGGGAAGAGGGCGGCAGGTACACTGATCGGTATGTATGGGTTTGGAGGGATGATGAAAATCTTCTAAAGTTAAGTGTGGTTATGGTTGTGCCATCTGTGAATATACTAAAAACCATTGTACACTTCCTATAGGTGAATTGTATAGTATGTCAATCACATCTCAATGAAGCTGTCATTTAAAACAAAAGCAGAAACAAACAGGTGGCCAGCCCATAAATAGGTCTGTTTGCTGGCCCTGATCCAAATCAAAGGAGGGTGATTTAATGCCTGTAGGTGACATAGTTAGCAGAGATCATCAACCGCAGTAACTTTGTTGGAGAGAAACATGTCCAGGCAAACGTCTGCACATCTGTTTGCTTTTCCCATGAGCACAGTAATGGTACCAGAGTTGAATACCATCAGTGTACTTAAGAGTACAACAAATCGGAGTGCACGGATGAGAAGGAATGGGGAAAAAGTGTAGGAGACCATGGTCCATTGTTTCCTACTTTGGAACACTGTAGAAAATGTGTGGCCACATTTATCTAGATCTTTGTAAAGGAAGGAACACAATTAACTGCATCCTCTAAGACTGAAAATACAGAACACAGGGCAAACTCGACATGCCAGGCCAGAACCCACCCAACCAAGTGGTGGTACACAAGCTCCTTTTGTCTTCCTCCCAGCCATCAGAGAAAACAATTAAACAAATACAAAAGTAAAGTAGAGCTCTTCTTGTGTGTCTGTTTAAGCTTGATGTAACGTGCAGAACCCACAAGTAAGTTTTTCACCATTGAGCCTCGTCAGTGATACAAGGTCCCGTAACTTAGCTTTCTAGAATGCGAACATGATAGGAGGACAACTGGACTAACCTTTTTGTATGAAGCTTTCTTAGTTTCTTCCACTTAGTTTGTTCCACTGTAACAAATTACAACCAACCTAACGGTTTAAGACGAGAAATTTATTTTCTTGCAGATCAAGGTGTTGGAGGCTCTGGGGGAGAACTCATTCCTTGCCTCTCCCAGCTTCTCATGGCCCCAGGCGTTTCTTTGGTGTGTGGCCACGTTTCTATACTCCACCTTCACATCACTTCCTCCTGTCTCTGGTTGTAAATCTCCCTCTGCCTCTTTTATAAAGATACAGGTGATTGTATTTATGGCCCACTGGGATAATTCAGGATAAGCTCCTCCTCTGAAGATCCTCAACTTAATCACATCTCTTGCCATATAAGGTGCTATTCACAGATTCCAGGGATTTGGCATCAATATTTTGGGGAGCGTTTTTCAGCCTACCACAGAAGTTAACTGAACCAAGAGTGGAGGAGAGCTATCCCCAAGTCTTAGGAGTTACTTTCCTGCTGGAATTACAGATTTGCATGATCTCATCACCCATTGCAAACCCCAGCCAGCGGAACACATCCTTCTGCCCGGTGGCGCACGGCTGGTAGTAAAGAGGCCGTGTGCCCATCCAGGACAGTCTGACCCTAGTCTGAGAGGGGATTCAACAGCCATCAACTCTAGGACAGTTTGAGCAAATGACACATTAAGAAAGAGCAGACTTCAGTATGATTTCAAGAAACTGGATTTGTACATTTGATGTTTTTCTTTTTTTCTGTAGCATGAGAGTAACCAGTAAGAGTAAGGAGTCGGGGCTTTCTGACCTCAGCAGGCCTACTGCCTCCCATGCAGCCTGTGGGCACGTCAACAAAGGCACGTGCAGATTTGCCTCTGACGACTCTGAGCTGGACAAGAAGGTCTCGTGCTGCTCTCCTCCCCCAGACTACAACTCGGTGGTCTTATACTCCAGCCCACCTGTGTAAAGTGTGCAACACAGTCTGATTTCTACAACCACAAGTGTATTTATACCCCGAGAAAATGAGCTTTTGCCAGTATTATACATATATACATTTACACCTCTACTTTTCCACAGGGACCACTTGCTTTCTTGTGATTTTTAATAGTGCTTTTTTCTGATTAACAAAAATGTAACCCCAGAGAGGGTAACAGTGACAGGTGAAGGCCACTACTGCTAAACCCTCACATTACTCAGTGTGTTAAGAGAAAACTGTTCAAGCCCAAAGGGCTCCTGCTCCTTCTCCCCAGGCCTCAGGGCACGGATGACGGAGACACACTGACCACGGGAGGCCGGACACTGAACCCTGGAACCAAGCTGGCCAAAGCGAGGCCCCCAGGTTCCTCCAGCAGACGGGACGTGCAAGGGAGAGAAGGGAGACATGAAGAAAAAAGAAAACAAGGTGTGAGAAAGGGGAGTTTGAGCTGGACCATAGGGAAGGAGTAGGAGAGGGCTTCCCACAAAGCCCATCCAGTGGCTTTCAAAACCCTGACCTGACCTGCTTCCTTTGAGAACCCAGCTGGGGAGCTGATGAAATAGAGGGATGAGCAGGTCTTTCCTGATTCTGGGAGGCAAGGGAAGGGCAAACATTTTTTGGAACGAGGACTTGTTCTTTGTCCATTCCTACATATGGCACATTTTTTATTTCTAGCACTGAGGGTGGTACTCAAAGCTGAGCCCATACAAAATACACTGAATACTTACCAAGGTAAGTTGGCATATTAGTTCAGGGTATATAGCATATCGCTCATAGTAACCTAACTGGAATGACTCTGGTCTGTTAGGGTTATCTGTTGGGCTTAAGACCCCATTTTAAAGAATAACGTCAGCTTCCATTTTGTGTATCAATGTATAGTCAAGACACTTACCTCAGTGTTTTGTATTAACCTTTTTTTTTTCAAGTTAGTTATAAAAGGAAGCTGAGGAGAATGAAAATGTGGTCCTGTAGATGGCTTTCTCTGTATCAAAACTAGGATAGAGGGAATAAAAAAGAAGAGGCAGAGTGAAAGCCCCTCTACCAACCAAACCAATTCACAAAAACGGTTGGGACCCAAAGGATAAGAGTTAATCATGGTTTTGTTTTGGTTTTTGTTATTCCAGTTTGTCTCCTGGGAAGATGTGTTAGAGCATTAACCAAGGTTTATTAAGCACTTTATGCTCCTTGAGAAAAGAGGTGATATGTAAGGTAATCCTAGAATCAGGACTCAGGATATTAATCAGCCATCAGTAGGAGAAAAGCCTCTTTTCCTCTGCTTTGGACCTTGCCTTGGTCTGAGGATGATGGAAATAGGGAACAGGGTACGCAGGGTGCCTACTCTTCAATAGTCTGAGGGCCCTGGGTCTCCCAGATGGTTCTGTTTGATGCTTAGTATTTAGGAAGTTTGGAGCCAGTCAGAGCTGGACAGGCAACAGTGAATTGCTGCTGTCAGTAGAGAAGATATGGTTCCCTTGATGCATGTAGAGTTAAGCATGTAGCTTAACTCTAGAACCTGAAATATGAGTAATGAAAGCCCTTCCTGTGTGACAGCCTTGTTCCAAGGTTCTTTGTATGAAGAGATGGGGATTCGTCACATTCCCAGTGAGACGGTGGCTGCTCCAACGGTAACTCTGCCAGAGGAGCCTCTGGCCGGCAGAGCAGTGTGTCCAGTCTTTCCACCAAGAGCCAAGGCCAAACATCAGGCCAGGACCAGAGGGGGCAGCTTTGCTCTTCCTCCCTTCACCTGTGACAACTGGTGATAGTAGAACCAGGAAACCAAGAGGACGTTAAACTTGGAGAAGATAAAAGAAGACCTCAATCAGTTCTCTAGTTTTTCCAGATCAGATAAGGATCCAGCAATTAGTGAAAACCAAGGAAAATCATAGCTATAGATGTCCTGATTTCAATAATCTCATTCTTAATCATTGAAACCTTAGTAATACCATCATACCAAAAGAAAATGATTTATCACAACTATGTTAATTCAGTTTCTTGAAAGACTCAGGTTTATAACCTACATGAGTCCATCTGCCAACAAAGGTTCCTATCTGGAGGCTTGGCAAAGGAAGGAAAATGGCAGCCTGTAGTCACCTGTACTGTACGTAGTTGTGAGGTGCTTGCCATAGATGAGTTCATTAAAACAGCAAATTAAAACACTGATGGTGTTATGAAAATCATTTGTCACTTAAGACAAAAATGGTTGGCACTGACAGGACAGACTCAGCACTTCTTTCAGGATTCGTGAGATAATGTACATGTAATGGCCCACGTGGAAGGGGACAGACCACACGGACGTGTAGCTCTAGTTAGTCTAAGGAACAATGCTCAAACCTTAGTTTGAACCCATGCAACTTATTTGTCCAAATCCTGAAAAACGTTACTTAGGTGTTTTGGCTGTGCCTTGTTTCCCAGCCTGTAAGAATGTCAAACATAAAACAGGTATTTTCCAGCCCCTTTTAGTTGATTAAAGGAGGAATGTATCTTTGACTGATATGGTAGTTACTATATGTATATATATGTGCGTGTGTATGTTTTGTGCAGAACTATTTAAGGAAACTGGAATTTTAAAGCTACTTTTATACAAACCAACAATTATGCTGCAGGTATAAGACAGACATAATTTTGTCCTATATCTCTAGTCACTATGAATGTATTTTGTATACTATCTTCATATAATAAAGTTAACTTCCAAAAACATCTAGGTATTTTCTTTCTGATTTGCTTAATAAAGAGAACAGGAGTCAGAGGTTGCCCCAGGGATGGGGAACTGGCATTCTGGGAGATCTCTTTAAATACCAATCACTGAACGCAGCAGGAGAAGAGTAAAGTGAGCACGGCTAGAGACAGAGAAAAGCCTTCTCTCAACACTGCAAAATGGCTGCTTAACAATAAAATAAAATCAAAGTAGGCAGATTGCCCAGAAAACTAAACACAAAATGAGTAAGATCACAAAATGTACAGAGTGCTGGCTGCAGATGAAAGTGCCCTCAACTTTAAAAGAGGCAGCCTTTTCCAAACACTAGTTTTCAGCTAATAAACAATTACCATAATCACAGGGTGTGTGTGTGCACGCCCGCACACGTGTGTGTACTGTATTAGAGGTTGTGTGCAGGAAACGATACAAAGTAATTAGGCAAAAGCCTAAGAAGAAAAAAAAAAGCACACTAGCTAAGTATTCTTCAATTTTGTTTTGTGGATTAAATCCTAGTAAGAGAAATAAACAATTCAGACAATCACTGTCAACACAGAAAAAGTGACCAATACATTGTCTTAGAAATTGGTCATACTATCACCTTCCTAGTACCAGAGGAAACTGGATTGGAGAGAAGTTGTAAAGGAACACATACCTGCTTTCTTTGGGACAGAGGCAAAAAGTAAAAACTAAAGAGATAAATGACTAATCTCAGTAAATACGTGGTTAACTAAAGATGGCAAGAGACATTTGATCTTAAATAATCTGAAAATCTTTAAAAATATTATTGGTTTTCACAACATGAGTAAAATTCATCTAGGCAAATGATTTGAAGAATGCTCGAGGAATTGGTTTCATGTCAGTTTAGAAATTTTCTCATGACTCTGGAAACTTAACAGTTCATTTGGGAATTGATTTTTAAAAAAATTTCCTCCAGCAGAAGGATGACCCAGTAAGGTTTATTGGAGTCCTTGGTGTTAAACATATTACCAGACTTTGGAATTTCACAGGCCAGGAAATTTTTAAAAAATACCTTGGGTTCCAACACACGGATGACTGGCTTTCTATTTTTTTCTTTTTTTGAGCTTAAGACATTTAAGGGGAAAAAAGCAAAACAAGCCAAAAACCAAGGAGATGGTACTAATGTTCTATTTCTGGACTTGGATGTGGTACATAGGTGTGTTCACTTTCTGATAATTCATTAAGTTATATGCTTAAGTGCAAATTTGTGTATATTCTTCAATAAAACATTATCTTAAAAATCCCATTTAATTCCGGGTGCCCAAGAAAACCCAGAATTATCTTCTGGAATGTCCAGCTGGCATTGTTGTGAGAGGCTGCATTTGGCTTCAGTGAATTTTTTTTGGAAGACTTTCAACATGTTTGCTCATTTCATGATGGGTGATTTACAAGTGCATCTGCCAACACCACACTGAGTGTTCATCAGTTTTTGACCAAAAATGAAGTGACCCCTGTGCCCTAACCTCTCTATTCACCTGATCTTGTCCCAAACAACATTTTTGTTTCCATGGATGAAAAAAGTCCTCAAAGGGAAATGTTTTGCTGATGTGAAAGAGGTGAAACAAAAAATGGCAGAATTAAAAGGCCAATCAGAATTGACAAGTTCAGAAACTGTTTTGAGCAGTGGAAAAAATGTCTCGATACGTGCATTGCATCAAATGGAGAGTACTTTGAAGGTGGCTGAAGTTTAAACATGTAAGAATACACATTTTACAAATAAATCCCATGTTTGGGGTCCCCCCTTGTATTAATAAACTCTTCATGTCAGTGGGAAAATTGAAGTAATCAAAACAGATCTTCCAAATCCCACCATCACATATACCCTCCTACAGCATCTGTGCTTATACTCTGCCTTCTCTCTGGGATGGCCAACTTAAAACACCTACTGGGGAACTTGATCACTTTCTCTCACCTGCCTACACAAGGGCACTGCTCCAGCAATTCACCACTCCCTTACTCCCATCAATGTTTCTGACCTCTCTTCCACTGAATCATCACCCCTTATCTTACAAAACAGACACCCCTATACCTTCCACTTCAGCAACCACCCATTTCTCTATTCCTCTTTACAGCACTATTCCTTGAAAAAAATTGGTTATACTCCTTGTGTCTAATTCCTCTCCTCCAGGCACTTTGAACCTCCTTGAGACCAGTGTTCACTGTCACACTCACTGAAACTGCTTGACCAGGTTATCAGTAACCTCCATACTGCTCAACCCAATGACCAATTTTCAGTCACAATCTTTCTTGACCCACCAACAACCTGACAACAAATATTTACTTTGATCCAAGGGCATCACGCCTTCCCCCGACCCCAACTCACTGGACACTGATGTTTCTCTTACTGGTTTTCTTTTCTCCGACCTTTGAACATTGTTCCAGTTACCCCAGAACTCTGCCCTTGGACCTTTCCTCAGTCTACACTAACTCCCTTCATCATCTCGACCAGTTTCAGGGCTTTACATAACAAATGTATGATAATAACTTGTTAGTTACATGTAGGAGCTGGATCTCTGCCCTAAATTCCAAAGTCATGTATAGTCAAGTGCTAAATTCCCCTCTCTCTAAAATCAATAAGCATGTACTTAGGTGAGGATAAAAATAAAAAATCATGCATTTTCCCAGTCTTTCGGTATACTCATTCTCTAAGAGCTCCCACTACAGACCCAGTCACCATGCGTGGACAAGCCTAAGCCACATGAAGAGGCCATAGTAGGTGCTGCCACTGACAGCCCCCAGCTGCGCCCAGCCTTCAAGTCATTCAGTTCAGGCGCTAGATCATATGGTTTCCCAGCTGAGGCCCCAAACTTAATAAAATAGAAAAGCCATCCAGCTGTGCCCTGCCCAAACTGTTGACCTGCAGAATCCCTGAGGATAATAAAATGGTTGTTTTTTGCCATTAAATTTGTAGTTGCTTATTACCAAACCAGAACAAATGTGTACAAAACATCTCAAACAGGCCCCAGACCGAACTCCCAATTGTTTTTCCTCACTTTCCCATCCTCCCTGCCCCCAACCCCCAAAACCCTTTGTTCCTACAAGTCTCTTTCAGTTCAGTACAATCCTCCACCTTGACAGTAATGAACCAAAATCTTAAGTCATTTTGACTTCCCTCTTCCCTTCCTCCTCGTCCAATAAATCAGGATATCCAGTGGGCTCTACCTTTAAAATATATTCAAAATCCATTCACTTCACACCACCTCTACTGCTGTCATCCTATCCAAATCCCCACCATCTTTCACTTGAAATAATGCAAGAGCTTTCTTACCAGAAGCCAAAGTGATCCTTTTTAAATGTTCTACCATGTTATTCTGCTCCAAATCCTCCTGCATCTTCTCCTTTCACTGGGAGTAAAAGCCAAAATGGTCCTAAAACCATCTACAAGACATTTACCCTCATTACCTTTGTCTTCATTTCTGACTCACTGGATCCTAGCCACATGGCCTTCCTGCCATCCTTCAAATACTCCTGGTCTGGAACTCTTCAAATACTTCTGGACCTGGAACTCTTTCCCTCCGATGCCTTCATGGCTGCTGGCAGGTTTGCTTCAAGTCCTTCTCAGTGATCCTACCACACGAGCCCTCCCATTTGAAATTCTATCACCACCAGCACGTTCCCCTTATCTAGAGTTGCAAGATTAAACACAGGATGGCCAGTTTTCAATATAATTCTGTCTCATTCAATATGAGACACACTTAAGCTAAAAAATAAAGTTTTATCTAAAACTGAAATTCAACTTTGTGTTCTATATTTTTATTTGCTACATCTGGCTACCCTGCCTACATTCTTCATTTTCTTTTCTTTCTGTAACCATTAGTTCCTTTTAATGTACTATATACTTTATCTTCTTCCTGCTAGAATAAAAGTTCTGTAAAAGTAGAAATTTTTGTCTGCAGTAGTCAGAGTTGTTTGGTGGGTTCCTAGAACAATGCGCCTGACATATAAGCAATACTCAATAAATATTAAATGGATGAGTGAATCTCAATTCACCCACCTGTGGCACTGAGTGGGCAAGTGGCTTACCCGAGCTCTCAGAGCTCTAGGTGGTAGAGCCAATAATTGAACTCAGGTAGTCTTGTTCTTGCAAGATTATTTCTTAACCACTGTGAATACTGTTTGAAATAAATTTTAAGGACATGCATTTTTTAATTCTCTTTCCTCACCCCTCCTCCCACCCCATTTATGTAGAAGGGTATTTTACAAATGTGTCCCTAATTGTCCACTTGCTAAAGGTGGAAGGAAAAAAATCACTGGTTTCACAAGAGATGAAAACAATAGAAGTCCTTGTATCTCCATTTGCCAGAGTTTATCAGGTGTAACACTGGCCTAACATTAACAGTATTTTTAATGTTTTCTCCTAAGAAATTTAAACTTTAAAGATTGCTAAACACATCCTCAATTCTAGGCAGACTAGTTTCCCTTCTTCTCCATGAACCCACAATAGGTCATTTTAATTTGTATCTGATGCCACAGATTTTTTTTCAGGATCCTTGTACACAAAACACCTTCTACACTTATTCTCTCCCTTCTTGGAATTCCTAAAAACAATTCATCAGTTCCTTCAGCTGAAGATAACCTCTCCTTCTTTACTCTAGTTACCCTGCACCTATGCCTGAAGTCCCTTATTACTTTGCATTCTGTACATTTTCTCAACTTTTCATTTCAAACATACAGAAAAAACAAACCCACAAAACACACCAGTACCCAGATCCAACGAATGTTCTATTTTGTCCTGTTTTGTCTATCCTTATCTTCTAAATAATGCTTCTGAAGGACTTGGGTGGGGAGACACCCTTGACCTTTATAGTAAATAAACTCAGTACTGAGAAAACTAGCTATGTATCCCTCCCATCCTTTCACACAGTAGGTCTTTTCTCCTCAACT